AACATATATATATATATATATGATTATCTCCTGAGATATTTTTTCGTAATTTGTTCCTTCTCATACATTCTCTTTTCTATATGCCATAATTTTGATACGCATTAAAATAGATATATCGCCAAGCTATGTCATTATTTTACTATATATCTATAGAGGATGTTCCGGTTTAAACCTGTATGATTGTAACATTTCATTGTCTCCCGTGTAACAAGGACATAGCTGCCGCTTTGAAGTGATACGACACACTTTTACGTAACAAACGATGCATTTAATTACAAGGGGGGGGGGAGCTGTTTCTGCATTTAATTAGCATGCAAACATTCGTTCCAGTGTAGAGAGGAAACATTTATCCTCCTTAATTGGTTCAATTTTATGTTGCGTTTCCGTAAGTCTAAATATATTGTACACAGTATTTAACGTTATTGCAACGTTATTGTATTTGATCGAATATTTTTAGTGTATTTAATGTCAAGAAATGAGCGACGTATTATATATATATATATATATTATATTTTCAAATCTAATATATCTACAATTACATATACATATCATGTACAATCATATATATGTATATATATGTATGTATATGCATATGTATACGTATACATATATTTACAATATTATAATGAATGATCAATACCCTGATGTATTCCGTCCTAAAGTGTCCTAAAGATTCAATGTTATGTAATTACGATTTTTGCCTTTAATAAAACAAATGTATCATTAGTACATTGTTTTACGTTTCTCTGATTATTAATACATCGTAATTTGATAAAGAAAAAAAAAAATACGTCGAAATTAACGAAGCACGAAAACGAATATTTTTTGACTAACTAAATGTTCATACGATATCCTAAATAAAATTCTTTATGAAAACTTTTCGAAAGGATAAAGTGATATAAATAAAGTGTCGTTTGAATAAGTTACTTTTGAGACATTCTACATCTTTTTTGTTCGATAAAAATTAGAGAATTCTATAAACTATATACTAGATATGTAGTCTAATCAACAATCTGGTCGTTTTCAATTCTCTTCTTTAAAATACTCTCTTCAGTATTTATCTGTTACACTTTAAGCCACCTATTTGCACTGGCATTACGAATTGACTCAAATTGCTTATTACTGGGGGACAGGATACTTTGTTACGTACTATTACATTGGAAAATATTCCTCATCCCCCCTCGTTTCAACGCACATTTCAGTACTAATTCAATATAAAAAGGAAAAATGTCGATAAATATTTGCATTCGTAAATGCATTAATATTTACACGGAATGTCGCATCGGCGTCATACACCTTCGAGATCATTTCGCTAGACTAAGGATTATTGCACGACTTGCGTGAGAAGGCATCATTCGTCTTAACCACAAGTCGATGAACACGTTTAACATTCTAACTATTAAAAAAATTTGCTCGTTTTCTCGCCATTCGTTATTTACAGAGAGACATATCTTATCTCGATGTTTGTCGTCAAAACAGAATTACGTATAATCGTGTAAATCCGCCCAACAAGACGCCAGTCTTCTTCATCACATTTGTATCAGTATTTAATCAAAACGTAGAATGCACTACTATGCTATGAGCTATCGTGCGTCGTATCACACGATTGTGTACAGAAGACGGCAGGTGTTAGACGGGCGTCTCCGTGTCGTCCCGCGCCTTGGCGTCGCGCCGCGACGGCGGTTGAGTGTTCAGGGACTCGCGTATCACGAGGCTCACGGTATCGGAGTAATCCACGCCCACGCGACGTTCCCCGTCCCGCGGTAGACTTCTGTTGGACGACGGCGAGCTGTTCTCTGCACTACAGTCGTGCTTGAACACGCTGTCCGATTGGGAATGCGTTGGCGTGGACAATTCGGATACCAGCGGCGTGGACTCGTCGTCGCTCTCGCCGCCGCCGGGCGCACCCGGTGACCTCGTCAACGTCGGCGCCGCGCCGATCAGACGGTCCTTCAGTTTCGACAGCTTCTCCAGGCTGGAAGTGGGCACCGATATCACCACTTCGTCAAACGTGGAGGAGGAGCGTCTCTTGGCGGGCATCACCGACGGTGACGCGGTCTTCAGGGACGCATTGTTGTTCCCCATACATCTCTCGTCGGTCGACTTCGATCTGATGGCAGGCTTCGGCGACGGAGGCGGAGAGATGAACAGCGAGGAGGGTCTGGTGCTGATGTTGCTGCCGCTTCTCTTCAGGTTCTTGTGCGAGGAGGCGGATCTCGTACTGCGCTGAGACGTGACGCTACGTTGGGAGTTGGTACGTTGAAGGAACACGGTGGAGTCGTGCGAGCTGTCGTCCGAGCTGACCGGGTCCTCGTTAATCGGCACCCAGTGAAACAGCGGGCTGGCTTGAAGCAGCACGTACTCCGTGTCGTGCGCCGAAATGACGGGTCCTAAAACAGAAGCTCATGTAACATCTGCTTCGTATCATATGATTATCGTGGTTCTAATCGATTATAATATATATTGTGAGCCGTTTAGTTTCAAAATCTTTGGAATAGACATATTCCTTAAAAAGGCATCGGAAAAATAATACGGTTTCACGTAGAAATCAAGTTATCGATGAAAAAGGAACATTTGTTTCGATTTCTTTTTATAATTCTCTTATTTCAAATTTTCGATCTTTGAAACAATTTGGTCGCGATATCATGATAATAAGTGAAGGCTTCTAGACGCAAATTGCAAAGAAGGTAATGTCAGATGTGGTTTGCAAGAAAGTTTTATTGCCACTTGCTCTCGTAATAACATAATACTGCTCATAACATAGTGCTAATAATCTAGCGATAATGGTTCGTGGTGTACACACAGTACAGGAAGTAACACGTGGACCGGAGTAACAGGACGCAACTTTCAATTTTATCGCCGATCGTACGATTACTTTACACATACAATGATACTTTTCAAAAAATATAATACACTGTTACACGTTCGCTTCGATTAGCATAAACATTTCCCACACGAGATATTCGTTTTGTCAACAATGCGTTATCACAGCCTTTTGTACATTGATTTGTTTACAGAAAACACCGAACGATTAGCTTTGAGAGTAGTGCCTCTGACATTTTTTTCCTTTTTATATATATATATATATATATATATATATATATATATATATTATCATATATAATATACTTAAATGCAGGCTCGTACATTACCGACTATAGGGGTTTTCGTAATGCAAATCCTTTTTCTTTTTTCCTCAATATGGCATCGGTATACATACGATATTAAGCTATCTTATAAAATGAGCATTATATTATTACTAGTCCTACGCATACAATAGTGATTCTATTACAATATCATTAAATGGCTTTCATTTTGTATCCTTCCTTCGTGCGATATGTATGATTGGTTTTTCGCATTGGCACGTAAGTTTGCTTTAAGAAAAACTAGTACACACTCCTACAGAGGATATAGCCTTTCACTTTGTAAATTACAAACGGCCTTACATTAACAGTATTTATATTTATGTAACCAGTATTTGAGAGGTGTCGACTGCCATTGTATGTATGTACATCTCTTGTGAGTAATACTGTTAAATAGCGTTGCACAAACATATACAGACGGATGTACAAATAAAACTATTCGAATAGGATGAAGTATGTGTCCACTTAATCTTTTTCTCTCTCTTTTAACAACACAAACTGGCAAGCACCGTCCTCTGTGAATGGTAATGATGCGTGGACTCGTTGCACGTTCTCTCGACAGAAGTTACGCTAGAAAAGTCTCTGCTTTTGCGATATATGTAACGTGAGCGGATTTATTTGACGGATATATATACATATATATACACATATATATATAATATATATATACACATATCCTATAGTCATATCATCGTACAAGTAATCATCCTATTTCAGATTCTAAAGGTTAGCACTGTATTCGGAGATGTCACTGTTTTGGTCAGACTGCGGTGGCTCTTGCACTATTACCAGAGGCAGTGTAAGTGGTAGGGGAGTAGGCTCACCTGAGGAAAGTGAGTCTGTCGTCGGTGCCACCGCTGGCGATGGCACGTCTAAAACATCCTCGCAAGCTTCCTCATTCAGGGTCTGTAATGCTCCGCAAATCATTTGCTCCTCTAACGTTACCTACAACGTATATATACGCACTTTAGTACATTCACATAGCGAATAGTATTTTTTACGTATTGCATATAGATAGAATTATTAAATGTCAAAATTTTTCATTTCTCAAAGTAGGTACCTAATTGTAGCAGCGGGCTTACCTGGAACTGGTTACCGAGTGCGAATGTAAATAAACAAAAATTTCCCATAAGTTTTCAATTATAACATCAAAAATTTAATTTTTTAACGTCGAAGATTTATTTATGATTGCACCGATTACTTTATAAATGCATTTAATAATACCCATATCATACCTGTTTTTCCATGATGGACTGCTTATTTTGATCACGACGAGAAGTCGATCCATCCGTTCTCGATGCTCCTTTCTCTTTCTCTACGTGACCAGACACACGAATCGAATTATTTGGAATAGCGTGATCTGTAACGAATAAGAGTGATGTACTGATTGAATGAGAAGTAAAAAAAATGGAATAAGAAGAAATAAAAAAAAAGATATCGAACGTACCTTTGCGTAAAACTTGGTCGGGTCCAACGGTAAATCGGACACTTCGAGGACCCTCTTCGTAAGTAAATGACGAGAGTTCCATTTCTCGCAGTGATACAATTACCATGCGAAATAATTCCCAATCCCCGAAAGTCATTTTAAATACCTAAAAAATACAAATACATGTATATTTAGAACTTCTTCTTCTCGAAATGTAAAAATTAGCAGCATTCCAAAAATTACTTTTTTCAATTCTTGCAAATCGCAATGTAATAAAACTCGTCCATTGATATTGTTGTCTTTGATGGCCTGCTTATACATCGGTGCTTGGGTCGAATTAAGGCATTCGATTTTGTCGATCAGATCGCAAACCCCGTTCACTGTTAAGGACGACAGCTTTATCTCCAGAATTTCAGACTGCGAAATAAAGATAAAACGATAAGTCACATCTTTTCAACCGTAAGAGGTACTCGTACAATTAATTTATAGCGTACCGGTAATGTGGTCGTTGCGGAAAGCGGTTTTGACATTGGTTCTATGTGTGGCATTTGCATCCAAGTTGGCGGCGCTTGCCATTCGAAGCTTGGCTGGTAGGCCCACGATGGCGTCGGCGGTACAGATCCCTGCAAACTTGATTGTTTGGCAAGTTTCGCATGTCGATTCGACATGCCCCTCTGCGGGGTCCAATCGTACGGAACACCGTGGCCGTGCCAAGCACCGTTTTGTTTGTGAAACAGATTCGTATCTTCCTCTATACTTTGTTGCTCCTCCTTAATTTTCTTCTTAATGTACGGATCTAGATTAATAGTGAAAGGCAAGAATATTTTCATATCGCTGATGAGTAAGCTGGACCGGTGAAAGGTGAGGAAGACATCCAGCTTGCGCTCGTCTCTGTCTATCTCGAGAAGCGGTTGCACCTCCTTCAGCACCGGAATTTGCGGTCGCACCCTAATAAATATATAAAAATTAGCAATATAAAAAAAAATATATTAAAAAAGCGGCGTAAGAGAAAGATGATAAAAATTCACGTACTTATCGTAAAGACTTTTGAGCGACATATTGTCGTCTAGACTCTCCTCGTACATGTCGTAATGAAGAATCAGCCAAGACGTCCTAAAAGGCCACTGCTCAGTAATGTTGATCCAACTAGCCAGGTGATACCAGTTGAAGTCAATCTGGAATGCTTTGAGTAATCGTCCTGGAAAGGAAAGACAGATAATGTTATACATATGTAATAATTAGTCTCATAATCATAAGACGTATACTGCAATATCGACTTAATGTATGTACCGGTGACATAAACGACGTTCATCAATCTCCTCATACTACGGGGATTCACGTCGCTGAAGTAATCGTCGGTGAGCAGCATCTTATTGAGATCCTGCGCGCCGCCCAGTCGGTTCAAATTGCTGCCGATACTGCTGGCGATCGATTCGCTCAATCGCATCTTCCTGCTGCCCTTCCTAGTTTGGGGTTTCAATTTCTCGTTGCTGTTCATTATGGCCGATTCCGTGCTGAGCCTCCTGTTGGACACCGAGTGATGCATGGTGCTGGTCGCGGTGTAATTGACACTCTCCTCGGCCTCCGTCCACGCCGTCTTCTTGTAGTGTTGAGCAGTCTGTTGGGCAACCTTGACTTTCCGTAAGCCGCTGTTTTGCAAGTAGAACGGCAGATGCACCATGTTCCGCAGGTAATCGTGGCCGCCGATATTCGATTCCGAGAATAGTCTTCTGCTATTTACTTCTACCGCCTACGCGCGCAATATCGAATAGTTTATTAGATAAAGTAACATCTTAAAATTGATGTTACAACCCTTTTACTTTTTGCTTACCTTAGATATAATGTGTGGATCAATCGCTAGTATTACGACGAAGGGATATCCGTTATCGCTAAATAAGGCCTGTATAGCGTCTAAAACGAGTAAAACTTTATCCTGCTCGCAACTATCCAAACCGTCCACTATCACGACTAGTCTACTTTGTTGAGCCATGAAACTATCCAAGCACTTGACCTATTTAAACATCGTGATTAAAAGCTACGTTCTTGCTGAAAGCGACGTTCTAATCCCAATGGATAAGTGGATTTACCATTTCCGTCATTAAATTGACCTCGCTTTTCAAGGTCTGAATGAACCCTTCACTCTTCAGAGTCTCCAATTTTGATATACTACGTTGAAGGTGTCGCCTCTGTGAAAAAACCAATGCCTGCAGCGTTCTGCTCCACGTGTACAAATTCGCTATTATACTAATGGCCAAGACCAAGGCGATCGATATCATGATAATGTGAGCAGTGACTCGCTCTATCGTGGATCTGAAAACGCGAAATAACGCAAGATGTAAGACACAATTAACGTAAAGCCACTTTTATATACGGCGTGTAATTACTCACTCATCGTTCGAGATATCTATGAGGTACACCGTAAGTATCGAGACACCGACGAGCAAGCTGCACAAGCAGAATTCAAATATGATTACGTATGGCAAGCAACACAAACGCCTCCATTTCCACGTGGTGGTGGATTTATCCGGTTTCGGCCGAAATGCTCTGTACAGTCTGGTAGACAGGGAACCGTAGTCGTTCTCGACGGAATCGTACAGCGAGCCGACCATCTGCACGACCGCGTTCTCACCGGCGGCGGTCGTGCCCACGCGGGTCTGATCGGTGAAGTAAAACTTTATCGGCTGCACCGCTATGCTGTCGTGACACTGACTGCCCGGCGGGTGACAAAAGATCACTTGCAACAGCAGTTTTAGCGCGTTCAACTTGGTGGTGAGCTCCACTGTCAGATTATACGGCCAGTACCAATCGTACCTGCGATTACAGATCTCCGATGAGGTTGTGAAACGAGTAGAATTTCACTTCTCGTAAGCTTTTCGTAAGCCTTACCTCTTGTTGACATGCCAAACGAGGATTAGAAAAATATAAATGACAACTAATAAGCTTATTCCAGACGACAGGCCAACGATCCACGACTGTAAGGCGACTCCAAGCGTGACGCCCACAAGTAGAGAAACGTGAGCTATTACTAAAAAGAGTAAGGAAGAGAATTGGAATACGGGATCGATCCACTGTCGCGCAAAATTCTTCATTTCCTCTGTAAAAAAAAATTACGTCGTTAATACTTTTTCATATAGCTCAGGCGTATACAGATATATCAAAAATATTCCAAAAATGTTCAATTTAAATTGCCATAATGTAACATTTCGTTTAAAATTAAATCACGAGTTATATATTTTTTTAATGAAGATTTGTTTCAAATTTACCAAAGAGTTATCAATTCTTAGGAAAAGTTTCCTTTCGTTAGAACTACTAGATAGCGTTTGTAAACAGCTTATTTTGATACCTCTTAATTTGTTCAATAAAAATGATTTCCCAGATCCCCATTTTGCGTAAAGGCCGACAGTAATTGGTGTAGAAAGCGACGGTTCGCTGAGAATGTCTGCCAACGCGCTGCTGTACAAATCGTAGCCAAGCATGTTTTCATTGTCCTCATTGGTATTTAAACGCCCTGCAACGTATTCAAATTATTCCACGAAACTCGTCGAAATATTAAACGTGTGCTCCACATATCGTAAGTTACGTTACCAGCAATAACGTGACACGAATGGTATGCGATCTGATTAACTTACGAGCACCGAATATCTGACCAAGCATCGTCTTAGGATGATTGACATCGATGTTGTAGGGGGTTTCGCCTTGTTTATTCGGACGGTACAACAACTGGCTATTCTTTGGATTCCTCAGTAGTATCTCGACAATCGCTTTCGAGCGCGCGCGCATCGCTATGTGCAGTACAGTGTCGCCCTTCTTGTCCGTAGCCGAGACCTTGGCTTTCTTGTCTAAAAGCAATTGCACGATTTCGGCGTTACGCGACCTCACCGCCCGTAATAAAGGCGTGTCGCCGTCTTTCGTGGCAATCTCCAGGTCTGGGTTAGCGTTTAGTAATAATTTGAGTATCGGCACATTGCCTTTCTCTACGGCTATGTAAGTTGCGGTTTTTTTATCCTAAAATATATACGGATGGGGTGGTTAGTTCGACTGGAACGACTCGAGAATAACCGCGGGAGGGGGGGAGAGATGGTCACGCACGAACCTAGCTCGAAGTGGCTTATGGATAACCACGAGACCCCGGATCCGATACCAAGAATGTCTCTCATATTAAAATGTCCATCGACTCGCTAGCGATTACTTTAACAAGTTTTCACATATTCCATCACGCGCGTAACAATCCGGGCTTACCGGAACGATCAACATTTGGGAGCCACAGTACTCGGTGAAAAAGATAATTTTTTCCAAGTCGATCTTCGAGGAAGATACGCGGGCACGGAGAAAAATAGATCGAGTTGTACCTTTCCAGCTATGTCGACATCCGCATACTTCTTCAGCAATGATTCCACCACGCCTCGATGGCCACCCTTAACCGCGTGGATTAGATTCGTGTCGCCAGCCCGATCCTGAATATTAACGTAAGCGCCGGCATTTAAAAGAGCGTTCGCTATTTCGTGATGACCTTCACGGCAGGCAATCGCTAGGGCGGTGCAACCATCTTTGTCTAGAGCGTTCACGTTGGGCTTGTGCTCTAATAGTAGCGACACCACCTCCACATGATTACCGAGGGTTGCGACGACCAGGGCAGTCCACGAATACTACAAAGAAAATCGTTAAAAGTATATAAATATCCAAAATTACCCTCATATGTAATATTAAAATTGAAAAAGAAATGTGAAATATTTCTTATTACATTAAAATATTTCTATTCACGGTAACTAATTTATGCGAATGAGAGAAAAATCTATGTAATCATGTATATAATTATACATGTTTTATTTTTACTATGTTATTCTTGATCATGGAATCCATCTACTTTTCTATACTCTTCAATGATTTATTGATCTTGGTTTATTTCTTCAATGGTTTATTGATTTTACCATGCCAGCTGTTTCGACGTTAGCCCCAGCTTTAAGAAGGATATCAACAATTTCTACGTTTCCTTTACGCGATGCCCATATGAGTGCCGTTGTTCCATACTGAAAAAATAAGTGGACATGAATATGAGTCCCGAGAGCAAAGCAATAAAATGGCTATTGATTTGCGGTACGGTGTCGCCCGCCGACGATTACCTTGTCACCGACATTGACCTTCGCCCCATGAGCAATGAGGTCTTTGACTATATCAGTATAACCCCTGCCAGCGGCCCATACTAACGAGGATATATGAAAATTTCCATGCGCGTTGACGTCAGCCCCGCGCCCTAGCAGCATCGTCACCGTCGTAGACTTGCCCTTGTACGTCGCCCACATGAGCGCCGTCCAGCCACCCTGCAACAAAAGAACGTCCGATCTTTCGATTTTTTTTATCTACAAAAACGCCAATTTTTTACACAAATGCATTTATATAATTAAATTCTTCTATTAAATTTCGTATTTTTTCTCAGTTAAAAGCAAGAGTGCAGATTAGTCGATAAAACAAAAAATATATATATATAATAATCACTAAATATAGAATTTTATTAAAAGATGTCAATATAATATGTCATAAGCTAATAATGCTTTTAACATAAATAATATATTAAATATTTTAATAGAAATATATATTAATGGAATTTTGACAGTGATGAAAAAGAGACGATAAAAACTTTTCATTTGCACGACGAAAGAGGCCAAAATTTTGCAAATATGAAGAGTTTCCAGTTATAGATTTACATTAATGGCATTACGCCAGATTAATAATAAAATATGCGACTTCTTCTGACCATGTCTCGGTGTTCCAAATCGGCGCCGTGCTCGAGCAATTCGAGACAAATCTCGGTGTGACCTTCCTTCGCTGCACACAACAACGCTGTCCAGTTGTCCTAAAGAAATTATACAGAAACGTAGAATATATAATTGGAATGTTCATTTATTACATATAATTAAACGCGATTTCAATCGGGTACCAACCGCGTCTTCAGCATTGACGTCCGCTCCATGATTGATGAGCTCTCGGATGAAGTGTATTTTTCCCTTGGTTGCTGCAAGGATGAGGGCGGTGCTACCGTTCTATCGGAAGAGAGCAATTTGTCAAAGAAGGTTCGACAGCTCGAACGCGAATACAGGAAGGAATTTTTCTTCTTCATATAGCTGTGATTTTTCGTTCACGATTTAATTAACTCACAAAATTAGAGAAATCATCTAGCATAAATTATTCTTACGTATAATTATTTCTCTCTCGAAATTTTTTCCTTTCGATAACATGACTTTTATTGTCTATTTATATCGATTGCCGTTATAATTTCATTATTTTGGAATTTCTGGTCAAGATCGAGTGACTTTTGGAAATTTTTTCAAGGGATTCACAATCATCGAACTTACCTCATCTCTGTCGTCGACCTGCACTCGCTTATTTTCGAGGAAGCTCTGCAGTCCGACGAGATTATCATCTGTGATATAGCTCGCGAGTGATCGGTAACAAAGCGATACCATCGAGTCAGTCCGGTGCAATGTCTGTGAAAAAATCAAGAAAGATCATCGTTAGATTCCGATCAGTCGTGTCTGATTTTTGCTGTTATTATAAGTCCGTTAGAAAAACTCAAGTAAAATTACGTAAATTCAATCGCTGTTTACGGAAACAACACATAAATGCGAAATACATAGCAAATATATTGCACCATTCAATTCCATTATTTAGAATTATTACAACTTTAATTATTATTATACTGTCGAGTATAAATTTAATAATTTTAAAGAAATTTGGATCTTCTTAGGTTTATCTAAATTTTATCATTTAAATCCCTTTATGCTTGAACATTCAACGCAAATGGTGCAGCTGGGCCACAAATATATTATAGAAGTAAGCTTTCGAGTTATCGGAATGTATGAGCAGCGGAGCAAACATCAATTCCGGATCGCCGTTGGTGGGCAGTCTCGCACACTGCGGCGTAAGTATTAATCTCAAGCAAACCACAAATAATCCGGAAATACTCTGTACGATCTCTTAAATTCCGATCCATACTTCTCGATTTCCTTGTTAAAGCTTGCGCCTGTAACATCCAGTTTCAGCTGTAAGGTAAAATAAAAGGGCGCGTTCTCGCTTCGACTCTGATTGAAACAGAGATCGGTATTATGCAGCCGAGTTTTTTTTCCCTCTGTTTTTCCTCGAGCGATATTGAATTTATGACGTTTCATTTTAATGGCGACAGGTATAGCGGCTGCAGCAGTGAGTATGCATAAAAGTATTGCGTATATTAACTCCGTAGTCGCTTCAATTTAGTTTGCAACCGCGAGCGAAGCGCGGCGTTCTCCATTCGCGAGAGACAGGAGAAATGAAGAACGCGCTGCTTGCGCCTCTCAATCTTGCAGAATGGAATCCGGGTCAGCGATAGTGAGCGAATACACGTAAATGATAAGGGACGATCACGTGTATGGAGAAAGCAGCGGAGCTGCGGACGAAAAGTTAGCAATGTTAACTGTAAGTCGCAGATGCAAAGCAGAATGTCAAAAATAGAAATCAATTTTTTAAACGCCTCATTTGCGCTCAATTTAGTATTATTCATTGTTTCGTATTATGTTAATTATTTTTCTACCTTTTAAAATTCTGTATGCATACATAATTTTTCTCGTTACGGTTTTTCGTTTTGTTTAAAATGCTCCATCAACTTTTCTTCTTACTATCAGTTCAACACTCACATTATTATTCATGCCCAATCTACAAGCTGATTAGTGATAGAAATTTTGCGGGCTCAAAGAGAGAGACAACACTTACTGTAAAATCCGATTAAAATCAAATCTGCTGTGATCCTTTGCGCACTGAGTTTTGCGTTGCGGAATTTACGTACATGTTTTGACAGATGTTATAACACTTTAGATGTTATTACAATCAAAATGTATTATTAAACATCCAACAGCGATAATCCTGTATAGCAAATATCGTACGCGGTATTTTTGATTAAAAAATCCTACGGCAACAATTTAATAACATTTCCGACGTATATTATCGACAAAGTCTATATGGAATCTAACGCGCGTAAATTGACTTGGCATTTATGGTATGTAAGAGGATAAATACACCATGATGGGATATATAATCCTTCGATGCGAAAGTCCTCTGCTTCCCTCGCGCAACACGAACGGCCGATAGTAATAGCCATTAAATCTTGCTACAAATTATAAAATTACACAAATCATATAAACACTCTATTAATGTTAAATCTGGATATTTTTAACAACGTTTTGGTTGTTTGTTGTAAATTTTTAACAAAATTTTGGTAATTCACATTTCAGATAAGAATAAATACTTGATAAAAAAAAAAACGAAAGACTGCCAGAAATGCAAATCCGGATTCTGACGTAAAGTTAAAATTTTAAAACGTGCTTCTCAAGTCGGAATTATTCTAAGACTGCAACAGAATTCTTTTTCGATGCCTAAAGTCTCTCAGGGATAACACCATTCGTCGTTTACTACGGCCCGAACTCTACTGAATAAAAATTCGATGTTGCGGGCGTGCAAACGCACACACACACACACACACACGCGCGTGATACACATAGAGATATATTAGATCAGCTCTATTTCATGCTGATTTTGTCACTATGCTGAAATTATCTGGCAGTGATATAGCTTATTATACGTACCACGTAGCAGATGATACTGATGCGCGCTTTGCATCCGAGATAGTGTCACTGTGTTAATTCGCGAGTGTCGGCGGATATAGCGCGGGCATTAGCTGTCAAGATCGATGACAGAACCGAGTCGGGCAAGATTCCATTATGTATGTACGCACGTGGCATTTGCCCGTTACGAAATGACTCCAAAATTTTGTCTGACACGTGGAACTCGTGCGTTTTAACGAATTCATACCACAGATATTAGTCTACATATTAGATCTATTAAATCATCTGTCGATTATACCTACGTCATTAAACTAAAAGGTACAGTGATAGTTTTAGAATCGTAAATAGTGATTGAATTTCTGAAATGTAATTTGTTTCCAATTGAATTTTGTTTGCTTATCTCAAGCTTGAAAAAACACTTTTAGAATTTTAGATAGTGTAATATGTTTCATGAAGATGTACGTGTAACATTTTAGACATTTAGTTTCAGATTTAATTGTTCAGATTTTTTTAACTGTAGTAATATTTTCGTGAAATCGTTCAATTCGTACTAATATGATAACGTAAGGCATTAGACAGTTCTCGTCATCAGACAATTATTGCCTGAAATTAGATTACTGGCCGTGACATTCGGTTCCTGCATGCCGATTAGTCTTACTTGTCGGTTATAAATGTAACAAGTCCGATAAGATAAAGACTCACGAAGAAACATCAAAGCCTGTCGACAATGGAGGCGCTGACGTTCTTCGGCGGCCTGCAATTGCAACAATTAACGTTTTATTATTCGCGACGAGAGCGTCGTCATCGTTCCGACTCGGTTCGATCTTAAAGAGGCGTATCAATGTGAAGCGTTATTTTAAATTATTTTAATCAGAGCATGTGCTAGTATACGAATTAATGTTATAGAGACATTTACGTCAATCTGACATGTGATACCATCGCCATGCTTGGCTTCACTATACTCGATAAAGTAATGACGAAAAAAATTTTTATTTTCATTTGTTCAATTTATCAGCATAATCCAGTTATTTCACGCCATTCTTTCAATAAACATTAGAGTTAATTGCTAAAAGGACTGTTAAATATTTAAAGGATTCAGGTCAAGAATGGAATAAATCCACTACGATCTATTTTGAGGTACGGCCTCATATTTAGAGCGGTTTTTCAAACCATAAATCTACATTATCTATACATTAGTCTCTAAATATTTTTTGTTAATATTCTGCATTATGCTACTTAGCTTCCTCCATCAATTCAGAAGTATTTTACTTGATTGAAAAGACGGCCAGGCTTTCAGACAACGGATGTTAATGAAAAAGAAGAAATGTTAACGAAAAAAATGGGGAAACGACGTGCATCCTGTCTTTACCCACTAACCGCGTGCGAGTGCCTTCGGATGGCGAAGTTAAACTTGCGACCGATACCATCGGTGGCTGGCGCTGTGAAGGTGATGGTGGGTACGTGAATGTGCGAGAACACGTGATGATGATGATGGTGGTGGTGATGATTGTGCAAGTGATGATGGTAGTCCTCGGTGTCGTGCCAGGTCGTGGGATGCGGCTCGGTTATGTGAAGACGAAGAAACGACCTCAATCCGCGACGCGTTCTACCAATGGTTATGTCGTCGCTGACGGTGGTGGTGGTGGACAGATTCGACAATGTGGCACTTCGTTGCAGATTGTACTCCCCGTTCGGTAAGAGGGAATTCGGCACACCGGGGATAGCTCCGAGCAAACTCGGAGCGAGACTCGAGCAGATGGCCGCGTTCGCTATGCTGGACTTGCGGATCGGGTTCACGCTGGTGCCGGCCAGGATATCGTCGAAGGTCGGCGACTTCTGGCCGCCGGCCTCCGCCGTGGGGTTTTGCAAGGTAGACTGATTCAAATCGGAGCTCGTCATCGGTAACGTTGATCTGCGACCACCGCTAGATTTCTCGTCGAAGCTGTCCCGAATGACGGCTATCAGTGGTACTATATCACGTACTTTCCCGACATCCGAGCGTTCTTTCGCACTTGTCGATCGCTCTGGGGAGGAACGAATGTGTTCTGTGGATCCTGGCGGAACCTCTAGAAAATCGGGCGTCAATTGAGAATGCTTCGATCTATCCGCAGCAGTTGGTTTCGTACGAGCGCGCATTGGGTGGTCCCCGATTGATGAAGATTGAAACCTCGCAGATGACTCCTTCGCAATGACGTCTTCGTGTTTGGGTGCAGGGAAGACACCGTTGAAATTCGTTATCGGCACTGCCAGTCTTCGCATTTCGACTTTCGAAATCACATCACTGTCCCTGTTACATTCTTCTCTTGCATTACGACGATCTGATATTGCGCACTCGTCCACGTCGTTCGACAAGCTGGAGTTTTCGGATGATTGCAAGCGTTTGAAGGTGCGATCTCCCACGTACAAAGTAGAAGCCGCAAGTTCAGGGTCAGATGCGACCAACTTTGAGAGAACCTCCGCGTTCGTGACACTGGCCTTCCTTCTGACTTTTGCCGAATCGTCGTCAGAGATCGTTTCCGAAACAGTCTCTTCCGACTCTTTTGTCGGCGGGGCTTTGGCTTTCTTCCCTTCATCGTCTTCTTCATCGAAACTTTTACGGAAGAACGCCGACGCGATTCTAAGACACTCGTCTTTGGCCTTCCGCATGGCATTCTCTTCGAATTGTCTATTCAGCACGAAAATCGAAAACGGCCTTCATTTGCTGTGAGTAAAATGCGTACACACGTAGAATTCACTAAATTTTAACGTTTAACTGTATTTTTCATTATGTAAAAGTAATTCCATCATCAATATGATGAGAACAACTTGAATTAAGAATAATCAAATCTTTCTTAAAAAGAAGTCTGCTGTATTTTAAAATAATATAATGCATTAATTTCATGCAAATAAATGTATTAATGTTCCATATAAATTTAGACTGATTGTGTCATTTAAAAAGAGATAAAATTAATGGTTTTTGAAACACAATGTAATATGATTTAATTTATAGACTTAATAGATGTATAATTCATAACAATTTATAAAGTTTTTCTTAAAACATATAGTTTAAAAAATGTGTTTGTAAAAAAATTATGGACGTGTCTCACAATTTCAGACAATTAAATACTTCTTAAAGAACTGTAGGCCTGTAATTTTCAAATGCAATCGTAACTTTTCCTAATTTCTCCTTACAATTAGATCACTGACTACGATACGATCAAAGAAGTAAAGATTTAATTAAAAATTGAAAACTGTATAATTCGGATAAGTTTAATTTCTAAAACTGGATGAGTGTACGCAAAATCGATTGTAATCGTGATCAAGTGATTGTGATCAAGTATAGATATTATTTTATTTGTCCCCACACAGCATCGAAAGACCCAACTCACCACTACCAGTTTCAATTCCTGCCACTGAATATAGTTAAATCCCTCCCCGAGAAAACTGACCATAAGATTATTTTGGATCATCGGTATACCGTGAGAAACGGACCCTCGACAGAGCGGTGAGTCGCAGCATCTTTTCCAAATTTCGCGTGGTCATCCGGGTCCAGCTGATCGGGATCTCGCTGATTCGACGGCCAACGGCTTCACGACTTCGCGTTCGCGCGACTTCTTCCTCGTCGTTGGGAGACAATTGCAGAATGTCGACTCAGAACTGCGACCGAGCGAGACACCGACGACGCGAGCAAATCGCTCGAGAACAACGTTCAGCGGATCACGCGACATTTATATATCGCGGTGGGATCTCTTTAACTTCGTGTATATACACACAGTCTGAATCGCGTAACGGCAGCGCGTGCTGTGTGTCATCAGCGCCGTAAGCTTTGGTACGGACATTGTTTTCTATTCACACGACACATACATTGCTGTTTTAATTATCGAGATACATTTGTGACAAATAAAAAAATAATATTCGAGAGCAACGTTGAAATTATTTTGAAGTCGTATAATATCAATTTGATTGTAACCAAAAACCTTCTAAAAATATTTCATATATGAGATATGTGAAAATAAAATTTGTGCGAGCATTTTTTTTACGATTTAAATAAATCAATTTTATATCGAAATTAGAGCAGATTTGCTAGAAATATTTCACTATATGTTTCCAAAGAATGCACAGTGATATATGTGGAATACAATTACAAATTCTTAACTTTTAATCAAATTTTTAAAAATATAAAAAAATGTGTGTGTATGTGTGTGGTTTACCTCTCTACGTCGCTGTATATTTCATACAAAAGAATAAATGCCGTGTAAAGTCATTGGAATTCATGCAGAATTGTTCAGAACGAAGTTCCGGTCTCAGCAGAAAGAGAGAGAGAGAGAGAGAGAGAGAGAGGAGAAACACATGTATATTTCGAGATAATAGTGAGAGAAATACGGCATGACGTCACCAATTCGTGATAACGTTCTATGCGGCACCGACATAATTACGCTGTAATCTTCCGCGGTTAATCCCCACGGTTGCACATTGTGGATTTGGCGCGGCGGCGGTTTGATTAAACAATTTATAAACCATTATAAGCGGACGGCGACAAAACGGCGAATTTCATTTTCATTTAGGATCACTAAAGCGTTTATTTGCCTTCCAGTTCGGAAACCCGACTGAAAACGAATGTTTTGTCGCAATTGAATTACCAACTCTCGATTCGCCTCGCGCGACAAATACATTGCGTAAATAATTTATACGAATTAATCGCGCCTTCATTCATCGTGAGACACGTGCGCGCGAAATAGGATCTCGAATATTGGAAGTTGCGTCATCGCCCCATCGTTCGTGAGAAATGGTCAAACAACTAACGGAAGCGTCAAAGCGTAATCAGAAAAATGTTTTGATACGATTGCCACGTGACGAACAGCAGAGCTATACCTACGTAAAAAAAAAAATGACAAGATATGGCCAAACAAAGAATACTTTAAAAAATTGTATATATATGTTTTAAATGATACTGTCGTAAAACTCAAACAGTAAAACTAATTGAAGACAAAATTTTACTGATCTTTTAAATTTCCTAACATTTGACTCAATTTTTTTGATGAGTCTATTTTTTTGCTAGCATTTTAACAACAGATGTTACGTGCGTTTTAAGAGATACTAATAATGCACAAAAATTTGCGTTTTAATAAAATTAAAACTAAAAATAATTAAAAAATAAAAAAAAATGATAAGATGAGAGAGGATCGACTCCAAATCATTTGCCAAAGAATATTTCTTTGCTTTGAACGCAACTGTTTTTAAAAGGCACTTGCCGCGGTTAGTTCTCGCGTTAATCCCGGCCAATTAAAGCTCTCTTGGTAAACCAATTAATTGTGTAGACAGAACTTTACTACGCTTCATAAAACGAAATGACGTGATACCGTTCGGCAGAGTCACCATTGCCGCACCGATGCGCAGCAAAGCGCGTATCGAGCTAATAACGTTATCGCTTCACCGCGGGATTGTTCGACGATAAGCTACGCTCTCGCCGAATTAAATTTCGCCAACTGATTAAACAGGACGAGGAAAAAAAAATAAATTGATTTAAACTCGGCAAAGTTGCGATCGGTGAGTCGATTTTGGAACAATATTCTTGGAAAACAAGTTCAATCAAAAGGGAAGGTATCGTTATAAAAAGGTTCCCTGTTTGAAGTATACTCTAACGCAATCGAAAGATTTGGTGCGACTCATTTGTTCAAGAAAACTCTCAAAAGATTAATTGTTTTTATCGTTAAAAATAACTTTCTCAAGCGCTTAAAAAGATCAAGACTGTTGTTGCGTCAAATGCTTTAATTATATTTGGAATGTATCGTTACATTTCGAATTTTGTGCCACGAATCTTGAACTCGGAGTGCTGACTAGATAAATTGCAGACTCAACATCTGGAAAGTCAATTAAAAGACGTCATGTTGTCGCTCATATGACGATCAATGTGATAAGCGACGAAGAACGATCATAAAATCTAATAGTTTGCGAAATGGACGACCAACATCGAATCGTAAGATTCATTGTGATCGATACACGTAGAATATACTGCGTTGTAATATGCTACAGATGCTATTAATATATTTTCAAATGCAACACGCGATTGCAAATATTATTCCTTTATGATAATCGAAACATCTGTTTAGAATAAGAATATCCGATATAATTTTATTTATTGTCATCTTCGTGGTTTCACGTATTTATTGCAATCGCAATTTATTGCAGGCGCAAGTTAATATTATTAATAACTTCTGTATAAAGTTATCAATACTGTATCCGTTTATATCATAACGTTCCTGTCTCCGTCGTCGAGACGTCATTACATGTCACGTGTAAAAGGTAAGAATATCGACAGAGCTAGACATTATTGAAAACCGATGATGCGTTTATAATTATGTGACAAAGATTATGTTTATGATGCCCTGCTCCCTGCACCACGTTACATAATTCATCCATTTACATAATAATTCATACGATATTTTTTCAAATCACAAGCACAAAGACCTGTATAATGAATAAGTATAATATTTCATAAAAAATAAGCATCTCTCCATTGGATTTTAGTAAATTCAAACTAAAAAAATAAAGAAGTTTGAATTATTCAAATAGATAATTAATAATAATTAAGAAAGTCTGCCATAACGTCGTGCAAGTACTTATAAATCCATCAATTGATTTCAATCTGACACACGATCAATTTAATTGTCGCATAGTTGACGCATGATGATATATATTTCCAAATAGAACATACTACGTTCTCGCTTCAAATTAAAATTATTTTTTCTGCAGCGAATAATTTACAATATTGTTTACATTAAATTACCATCCATTTCAACATAATTAGGAATATTCGGTTAGAGTACGATTAATTCTTGTTTCTTTTTTAAACTGCATATCACTTATGTACGATAAATTCATTCTCATTATAACTGTGCTTGTATTCCTTCACAATATTGTTCACATTAAATAGGAACTATTAAGAAATATGACGTACGTTTTCTTTGCAATAAATAAGCTAATAGATCATTTTAAGACAATATATATACCTACACAATTTAGAAACAAAAATCATTTTCATGTAGATTCATCAAAGATTGCATATTGTCGAGAATTGTCGATATAAAAGAGAGAGAATTTTAAATATATATAAACGTAATTTTGAATCGCGCAAATTTCTAAGAATTATTTTTGCAGATACGCCAAAGAGGATTTTTGCTGTTGGAGGAAGGCATCCGTCTTCGCAGTACTGTAATCTTGACTCAACATTCGCAATTTCGACATCTCCTGCGCGATTTGCTTCGAATACGAAAACATCGGAGTGAGTTCAAAATATCTAATGCTATTTATTCCGGGCCGACTAACGGTACAAACATCGACGAGGTAAATACCGGCGAAAAACAGTATAGGATTCGCCGTTCGAGGCGGATCGCGCGAATCCCGCCTCGATTCGTATATGATTCACTTGCGCGTGATTTGTTTACCGTGGCAATTCCATTTGGTGGAAACGCGATGCTCGCGACGCTATTATCTGAGACACCGAGTCTGCCACGAGCTGTCACGATTGTCAGCTCGTAAGAGACGCGTCTCGACACCGCTTGTTGCCCACGTCATTTATCACGAGAAGCTATCCCGACTAAATCTTGGCACGCTCGTCGTAGTAGAGAGCGAAAGAGCGTTCATTCATGAAAAGCTCCACTCGAGAGCGTTTCTACAGACCGCAACTGACTGATATCCATCGATGTTTAGGGAAGTCGTCCGAAGAGAAAACTGTTATACTCTCTGATTTGCATCTCTTGTTTATGCAAATCACTCGGACGAGGAGTGGATTAAGAAAGATCGAGAGCATCTCAAGTATATAAAATTGAATCATCAAAGAGTATTGTTTTAAATACACAAAGTTATGATACGAAATTGATTATCTCGAAAAATAAACAGCTTAGATCACTTTTAAGTTAGAAAAGATGATACATTCTCTTTATATTTTGTATTCGGCAAAATAAATATAAGATACGATAAAGATGTTTCATTAAATACTTAGAGAACGCGTACAAAACTCGTGATCGCTGCATATCGTCTACCTGTTTGCTCCTGTTCCAAAACGACTGAATGGCTTGTTGACATGTCGAGGAAAGAGATCCATAGGTTCTGCTAGACCTTTGCGGCCGCGACAGTGGCAAGGACGGCAAGGATGCATTTCGCCAGGTATTATTCAACAGTCTCGTTCTCTCGTTTGTATACTCCATTGAACGGAAATCGGTGTCAAATCCACTCCGATTAATCGCGTATAATTAGGGAATGATGAGGTATATTCGCGTTACAGTGCGATTAACTCGTGCTTCTTTTTTTTTTAACAAACTGCATTCCGCTTACGTACGAAATGAATTCATCCTCATTATGTAGCCGCGCTTTTATTCCTTCACCAATTTCAATCGTTTCGCTTCCTTTGCCTGCAATACACGCGATCACGTACTCGTCCAATCCATTGCAAGCGCTAAAGAGCAGCCGTCGAGAACCCTAATGTTTCTGATTATAGAGGCGTGCGTGATGCTCGAATACGGACGTATTCGAACGGTCCAGATTCGACGCGCTGGTTGAATGTAAAACGATCATTTTGTCTATACGAGATATACCGTTTCGTCACACGAGTTGGCCTGACCGGCTTGTTTATGCGATCCTTTTTCCCTCGGCAAATAGAGCGGCTCGGATCAGATACGCGCCAAGTTGTTCAACGCGTATCGTCGCCGATTATCCACGCTGGTTTCGGTAAATTTCCAGGGCGTCACGCGCACAGATCCACAGATGTACACGTCATCACATCGCAACCCGTTTCATATCGGGGGCAACATCGGCGTGTTATTAGACGCCTGTATATCACAACGAAACGAAAAACCGCTCGGCTTGCATAGACACATCGGAAGCGCGTCTATGAAAATTATCGCGACGCGCGGCAGGAGGTAATTTCTCCGAAACGTTTTATCTCCTTAGGACTACAACTGTTATCTGTAAGCACGAGTTCGTTCGATTACACATAAAATCAGATGGACGGACGGAAATATCTGGATTAAGTCACTTCGCTTTGGAGTCTCGCACATCTCTGCCGAATTTCTCGTCACGCGTCGCGAATATGTTTCTGCATTCTGCAGCCTGATGTGGAATTTGGTCGGAAATGTAATTTTCGGCCGTGGTGTCCACGGGGAAGCTCGTCAGCAGACTCGCGAATCTTCCAAAAAGTCTCAGAAAGACGTTCGTTTACCCTCGTAGATAACAGCTCGTCTTGTTTCTATACGTCAATTTTCCTCGCTCACTGTCGCATCCTATCTGCGGAGAGTTGTTCCTCGCGAGGGTCACGCGAGGGATAAACTGTGGAAGAGCTTTCTCGTTACCCGCTCACGCGCGACGGAAAACGGCCGTCTCTTGACGTGGACGGATCATCGTCCGCGATGTGTCATCAATCATCAATCGCGCGCGAATAAAATTATCACTCGCGTATTGGATCGCTCGTGAATAACAAATAAACCGGAGCGATTGGGAAAGTATCCCGTAAATAGCGATCGAAAAGTATCCCGGCGAGGAGTTTCGCGACCTCGTGTAAATCAACACAACATATAAAAGGATGATATACGCCGCGAGTGATGAACCACTGTCGACGAAGATACGAGATCCAAGGCGAACGCATGTACGGGACCGATTATCAATCCCCTCAAAGTCGCGATAAGGCGCGACCATTTCTCAAGAGATATCCTATCATGAGATAGAAGACTATAGAAGACCAGTTAAATTATAAAGCGTATCGATATAGTCTTAGAAGGGGAATAAATGTAGGAGAAATTAGGAATGACGTATATATCTTAGAAAAGTGGGGAAATAAAGCTTGAATTTTTTCAATCTTAATAATTCCTAAAATATTTTCACAATTCTCTCTCTCTCTCTCTCTCTCTCTCTCTCTCTCTCAATAAAAATATTTATGCTTTATAAAATATTAATCCTTAAGAAGCAAAGGAACGCTAATTTCTGTTTCTAATATACTAGAATATTGTAAAAAAAAAATGAGAAAATTATATTAAATTGTGTGCTTAAAAACGTAATTAAGACTTCTCTAATGTTTCTACGCATTGCCAAGAGCGACGACAGTTTCGGATTACCGTGATCTGCCAAGACGACAAGACAAAGATTAGATTCGCGTCTTGTAATAGCTCCTACCTTGTATAATAACTATCGAATACCAATGGATATTGTGGCCAAAGATATTCTTGGCAACGTATCACTGACGGGACGCGAGTGCTTCGTGATTCATGGCGCCACTAATGAAATATCACAATTGATTTCGCGGACTACTCGCGATTCGAATGACAGATTTATTGGTCTGCGACCACGAGCGAAACTTTCTAATCAACCGTGAGGCATCCCTCTTATCGACTGCCTCGTGATGCCGAAGACCGCCAATGAACGTCGCGCAAAATAACGAAACGATATTATTCTCCGTAACTCGTGTCGCCGAGCTGCGAACGTTTTTGCGGCAAAACTTACGCGAAAATGAATAAATGAATAACAACCAGCACGATTCAATACATAACGCGAACATTGCTGTTTTTTAATCAGTACAGTATTTCCTGAGTCGATTAGCTGATATCGAGTAAATGTTAACTTTTATCAACTACGCTCTTTAACGAGATGCACGGCTGCATAATAAATATTTATAAAAATTAAAAGAAAAGAATATACAGGCTTGTTCTTTTTAACTGATTTCTTGCACGGTTCATTTTTATTTTTTTTCTCCAACATGGAGAATAAAAGAAAAAAAATGAACTGTGCAACACGTTCAGTTAAAAAGGTCTATTGTAAAACAGCAATTTATAAAACTTCAGTTTTTTACATATTTCTTTTTTAGAAAAAAAAAATCAATTTTATAATATATTTTCTTAAAATTATAGACAATCATTAATTCTGAAAACATTACTTATTTCTCTATATTACATAAACGCTGAAATTGCAATTGGGAGGAAAATAAAACGTTATATAAATGTTAATAAAGTCACCGTCGCTGTGTCGTGCATTTATTAAAATAATAATCAGCCAAAATTAAATTTGCGACGCAAACGGAATATTTTTAGACGTAATCCGCTACGAGTCGACCCCCTACCAATCCGCAATTAGTTAAAAAATAGTTTTTAATCAGAGTAAAGTCTCTCGCGTAACGTCTGCCGTCTGAACCGGATGTCCTGAATCAAGCACGATGGCCTATTTTGGCAACAAGCGTCTGTGGACGATGATAATGAGAAATTTGGCAAGACCCTAGGCATCGTCGAAAAGAAGAGGAGACTCATTAATCAGTGTCGCACCCAAGACTCGCGGCGTGCATTGGCAATCTCGAAGGTAACCGAAAATAAACCTGCGGCTGCCTAACCGCGAAGAGGAGACCGATGCGGAAGGTGGCGAGCGCTTAAAACAATGTGACAAAGCGGCACTGCTTTGACTAATTATGTTTTAGAAGAAAAAAAAAACATAAAACTTGAAAACGCAATTTGTGCGTAATTAATGCTGAAAAATACAAGAATTAAATACATCAAGCAAGTGTACAAAGAGTAATTTATATTTTTACTTTTTTCGTATCTAAAAGTAGGAGTTTCTAAGATCCCCCATTCATTAGTGTTCATAGTTAACGGTTAAAGTTACTCCGAGAAACCTGTGCTACGTGCAAATTACGCTTCGCGTATATTCGCGGTGGTTTTTGTCACGTCGCTCTCTGATTTACGGTGAAAGCACAGAGCGTAAACGCGGCGCCAGTCGTGGCTCCTCGGAGGGACGCTGTTTAGAGACGAGAGAGTCAGCGCGTTTTGCGCCGCTGAAAGCGCGCTGCCAAAACGAAAGAACCATGAAACGTGCGTGACTCCTGCATGATAATATATGAATGACGTAGCTTTGACCCATTCAGAAAATAGAGAACGGGTCACTCGGAAAATACGCGAAACAACGTTCGCAACGACGACGTTCCACCGCGCCGGCGAGAGACACGGCGTTCTCGTCGCAACACGCTGCGCTATTTATCGCGATACGTAACAACAATAATTTTAGCGTACGCGCGAGAACACGCGCTAATTGGATTCCACGAAGTAAAAAAGTCGCTCGTCTATTTCCTCTTCCGCTTCTTGCATGCACTTAAGTCCCTGTTACGGCGGTCGTATTATCGGGAAGACCCGCACGTGCGAAAGACTTCATCATCTGTCTTACGCGTTCAACAGAAGAAGAGAATTTAACGTCACGCAAGTTATTTAATACTTCATGTACCTTTAAATTGGACATTTAACATAGGTATTCTAGAGATAAATTTACAGCTGCAACAAATTTTTTAAATTATGAAAACGATCCTCCTTATACGGACAACGGTCTTCTGGCAAGATATTTAAGATTAGGAAACGAGCGTTAATAATGACAGTATGATATTCCTTGAAGCAAAGTTACCTCGTGGAGCCGATGCTCCAGACGATGTACGATGTTTTGAGGGCGTCCTTTCAGGAGAGAAAATTGATTTCTGCGACATTCTCCTGTCCCAGTAACGTGCTTGTAGGTCTTGTCACCGAGCACTCTACTTTTCGCCCGTAGATGCGACATTTCTCGACAAACGATTCGGATCGTGTCAACGTAAAAGAGTCATTTACCACTCGCGATCTCGACGTCCCGCGGAATCGACAAATGTGCTATTTAAATTTACACTTTCTATTAGCACTGCGAATAAGCCTTGACTTCGGGATTTTCGGGTGGCACGAGGAGAAGCCATTCCGACAGTATTCGCAACACGTGGCACCGTTTCACGTTCGTCACACTTCAAATAATAACGCTGCTCCAGACGCGTTCACCTCGGTTAACTCTCATAATTGGTTGATTAATTCGCATATTCGATGAGGCGGAATTTAATGCAAAGCGCGCGCGACGACCGTGCCGTGCCAAGTCTCGGTTCTTGGAAAATCACCGGTGCGCTCACGGGAACAAGAACGCAGGACTAATCGTCCGCTGCATTCGTTTCCTTGACTCTCTTCTCGGTAGTCCCAAGGCTACGAGGATACCTCGAAGCGTGGATGACTCGTTGCGCGGTCGCCACTGTATCATCGTGACTATTGCATTTACGTAAAATTACACACGAATATCGCGCAAAAGCCGTAACTGATACAAGCTCAAGGAACGTATCTCGGAGGTTTGCGATGATGATAACCACAGTCGTGATATTAACAGGCATTTAATTATCTTGCATTTTCAATTCATTATTTTTAAATTAGTCAATTAATATAAAGCGAGATTTTTGTTTCTCTTCTTACTTTCAATAATTTTTATTTTATTTTACGAAACCGGAAATTGTAAAATTCATGTAAAAATATTAGGCACCGAGATCCGTTTTTATCGAATAAGGCCTCTCTTCGCTTATTTTATACTGTTCACATATTGAGTTTTACTTATTATTGTTTCTTTTATTACTGCACCACATTGAGATGACAAAATAGATGGAGGATATTTCACTGATGGAACAATTAAGTCTGAATATAAGACTGGGATCGTTCTATCTAGACATTCTTGAAGTGTTTGGTAATAAAATTTATGTTACGTTAGATTAGACGCGCGTATCTCGCACTGCCACCAATTACATCGAGTCCTTCGAAAGAATCGAGCGAATGACATTCTCGTGTTTGCGCACAACCGTCCATCGCATTCTTGCAAAGATAACGATTGTCACCATGGAGCAGAGCAATAAAGCAGGGCGTCGCGGTTTTTTACGCTTTACGTTTTTTTTTTTTTACGTTTGCAGCAACGAGACGGATAGGAATCGCTCAGTATACAAATAAAAACTTTCGATACGGTAAATACTAATGATCACGTTGACGATAATAAATATATACGCCAAACATACGTATAACAGGGACCTAAGAAATGCCGGGAAATTTTATCAGCGCTTACCGCAAACGATCAATAATGCGCGCACGAACAATTCGATAATTCGCGACACGATACTGATGAAGCACAAAAACGTGATTGAGCGGGTGACTCTGAAGTAGAATTATTCTATCAGAAATGAAGAATAATCGGGCGTCGATAGGCGGAATGATCGATCGCGCGAGAGGATCGATGGATCAGCTGATCCGCGCGCTATAGAGTTCACGCTTTCACTGCTGCACTACCGGGAGGAAAATGAAGGTAAATATGCGTGCGTGTGAACGTTGTTTGCCAACGTTTGTGCACGCGTGGGTTATCTTCTCTTCGCCGGTTATTTATCATCTCAGCCCGACACGTATCGCCTTTTTTAAGAACCTGATAAGCAGTCACGTTTCTGCATTTGACAACATGTGTGAAATATATTTTTGGCCAATCAGTATAATGACATATATTATATTATTCATTTTATTATCGCATTCTTAAAGATGTTTTTAATACTTTACTGTATTATTGACCTCAAAATTATAATAAATTAAATTACATTGAATTAAAAAATGTTAATTAAAAATCTTAAATTATGATAAATGTATATTTTTTTATTATTTAAAAAAAATTGCCGAAATAGTTTATATACTGTATATATATTTGTAATAACGAAATATTTATATTAACATATGTGAGACAGCGTTGACTGCGTAAAATTCTTCGAAAATGCAAGAACTAAACGGGACAGTGAAGCGCATTATGGAATAAGGCTCATTATACAGATGACGTCTTCTCAGAGCTACGTCGCTTCAATTTTATTTTAGGATGCGAAACGACAGGTTATTTCATCGAAAACGTTGACATTCCCGCTGGTATGCGTGCCGCGAATTATTTTCGCGCTACAACATGGCATCGAGTGTTCTGCGAGAAATAAATCGGGGGAATTCAGGCCACGCGTCGCAAATATATAGGACGGGAAAACGATCGAAGTGTAAGAAGTCCGAAGCGCAAGAAATGTAAAAACTTATATCGCTGACTTGCAAATAACGTTCTTGTGATAGTGCTAAATGGTTGAAAGCGCTACGTCATTTTTTGTTAACAACTTACGTATAACTATTTTTTATTATTTAAATCATTATTAGTTTCCTATTCTCATTATTTTTTTTATTTTACTTTATTATTTACTTCATTGCCTTTTTCCTTTTGCAAAGATGTTAAAAGATCTACTTTATGAAATATGAGCTTTGAAATCTTCGTTCAGAAACATTTCATAATTGGACATAATAATTATGAGAAATAAAACTCAGAGCTATTAAAATTGCGAAATTACAATGTCGAGACGTGTCTCATTCGAGATTAGAAACGCTTTGGCAGCAATTTTCGCAAATAAAGAAGTGACTGCTATCTCCGAGAGAACGTTAATTAGGGATTATATACTTCTAGAGCGATAAATTTGCAAAGACGATAATGACATGTCTTCCAGTCATCATTGTAATGGCAAGTGTCGCAAAATTTAACTCGATTTATCCCTAGTCTATATAGGAGTCGTAAAGAACGTGAGAATTTCCACCGTCAATTTAGTCTAAGGGCGCAGTAGGGCAGTCATCATAAACCACGGCAAAGTAGATCGAGGCCAAGGATCGAAGGCTTGGGGCTTTTAATCATTCGCTAAACGAAGCGATACGTCACGATCGTCACGATTCCTGACATCACGCAATTTGCAAAAACGTCACGAATTGCAGAACCGATAAGGAGGGTATCACTAGCGAGAACCTTCTCTTGAATGGTTATTCATGCTCTGCCCGATCACTGGAAATTTCCTTGATTCGAAGGCTCTCGCATTAACGATACGCCGTATCGTAAGAGTCTATATATATACCTATATATCACCTTTCGGACTCCTTTGCCTTTCTATCAATACATAATTTCATTAGCGAAAGGGACACCATTAACAATCTCACACAATATATATCTAATTCTACTTCTAGAAAGAAATTTTCACACGACTGTCACAAAATATACATATCACTGCGCACAACACGACAAACGCACATTTATTTCTTTATCAAATTTTTCGGTTTTTTTTTTAATTCACTGTGCTATTTTTCAATTTACTCTTCGCGTTCTCCGTTGAGCAGCATCATTGCCCGAGAAATATATGCCAACGACGAAAGTATCTTGCGCACTGTATGCATGGTGTGGCGAAATCAGGACGGTTAGGACGAAGAAAACCGCAGATTGATAACGATAGTTTGATTGCGCGGCTGACTCGCGCTCGGCGCTCGCACGAAACCGATGCCGAGCGGCGCAACATCCTTCGCGTACTGCGGCCGAGAGAACAATTGACCGCGGCAACAACACCTGACACTCGGCGTGTGGGCGATCCGTCCACGTGGACGGCGGGGCTGGCCCGTTCGCCAGGTGATGCGAAAAAGAAAGAGAGGGGAACGCGCACCAGGCGACGACGTCATTCGGTCATTGTCGTAGGAGGACGTAGGAGAATATTCAGGAAGACGTTGCTCTTCTTTATTTTTATACGGCGTTAAACAACCAGACGCGTTATTCAGGAGATATTTTTTGATCTATCTTGATTCATAACGTATAATATAATAAATATTCACATTTAATAATAATAGTCATTTTATTATCTCCGTGAAATACCCTGCCTGGAATGTCCATTTTCGCAGAAATGATTTACTAAACATTGAGATAAGATTGCGTTTTTTACGTCAACAAAAAGAGAATCACATTTAAAGATAAATTCATAGCGAAAATGCTGACGATAATATACATATATGTATATTTATATATATAGAATTCTTTGAATACTGGCTCGTATTTTCACTACGCATTTTAATGCTAGATATGAAACTTTATTATACATTTCATGTGATAAATATGTGATAAATAAGATCGAACGCGCGCGCGCTTGTGTGTGTCTAATCAATAAAATAATCAGGATTCTCGTATCGAAATCTGAATGAACGGTAAAAATCTGAGCTGTGAAATATTCAATATCTATTAATCCAATCTAATAAATACAGCAAATTATTTAGCAAATTATAAATACATAAGTTATGATAGAAAGATATCGACTTGGAAAATTTTATTGAAAATATTAACTATTTCAGTATCTTCATCATATCAGTGGAATCATCTTTAGATATCGTATGTGACGGCATTATTAACCGTTGGAGAAGTCTCATTCCGAAGTTGGTAAAAGTTTTCGAAACGTGCTTTGTTTATTCCGTTATTCGGATGACGCGGAGAATGAGTAATCGACAACTCGAGAATTGCGCGCCGACTATAAGTACGAACAGCTGATCGCTAAATGCATCAGCTGTCCCAGACTAAACAAATGTCGATGAACAATGTAGTGTTGCAAATGTGTATTTACAACGAGAATAAATAGTGATACGAGGAGACGGCACGGTGTAAATGTTTGCCAGCATATTTATGAGACAATGAAAATCTGCCCGAATAAAGAAGAAGAGAAAGAAGGTATAGAAGAAGATTAATTAAATTACAGCGTTATAAGATAGCAAACTTTTTGTAATCTTTGTAAAGCAAACTATTAAAATTAAAAATTATTAATTAGTTTTATTTTAGTTATAAAGTTTTGATGAAAAATACAAGCAATTTTTAAATTAAGAGATAGGCAGGCGCGTGAGCCTTTTCTGTTTGAGAAAAATGTGATAATTAAAATAATCAAAGATATTACTTGCCACAATATTATCTTTTACACACGAAACGGCGTAATAATACCGGCTGCTGTACTTCAAGTAATAGTACATATTGAGGAAGTCTCGATTGATAACAACAGTATCAACAATCCTGTGCAATGAAAAATGTACGATTCAATAAGCTCGACCTATTTTCCTCTCTTTAACAACGGGAATATACGAGGAAAGATACATGCGAAATGTTGTTTCTCTCGCGTCGGTAAAATTTATTTCACTTTCCCTCAAATATCCGCAGAATTTCCAACAAGACAAAGGGAATTTAAACTCGCTCGCAGCTCGAAATAGAGCACGTGATATCAGCCCGGTGCGTTTCGCGATTTGTAACTATTTGAAATAAAATGATCAGTTCCGAAACTATTTACCAAATCGGGATCTGTGTTAGAGTTGAACCACGACCTAGGATCCCAAGACATGTTCCATTTTGGTGACACAATCTTGGATTCGGATGCCGAGTCATCTTCGTACGACATTCTCCTTCGCGACAGACTTTGTGTATTACCAATTCGCCAATGATTTCGATGAGTAACTAGAGCCGTGGGTCACTCGGCTTATATTTACATACACACGATCGCTCGGTAGGCTTTGTCGTATTCGGCACGCGAGGCTCACATGAACCAGCGGTTCTCAAATTGTGCTCCGAGTGCGAACGCGTCAAACGCGGTTGCGTACAATAGTTATCACGAAAAAAAAAGCAAGACAATTTGCCTAAAAAAAGTGTTTTCTCGTTCATTTCGCGATAAAAAAAATATGTTCAAATTCAAGCGTATAAAATTTTTGACAATATTAACAAGCGCGAAAAGTATTGTCTTGTATTTATTATTTTTATATACTTTTTATTTAATAAAGTTTTTTATATAATGCTACATACATAACATTCTATATATAATGTACGATGCATTCTATACAATAAACGCTTACTATATAATAAGCTTACTTTTAACATTTTATTTTTCTGCGTTTTCTTAGACATTAAATGCCAAATATTTGAAATTGTTAATTCTGCGCTTGCTAATTTTGCTAATTATTTTCAGTTTTCCCTAGTTTTTGCATAAGACTTGACCTCGACATTTCGCAATCGGTAAACATCAATCATTCGACAGTGCAATATGAGAAAATACTCATACAAGTACATATGTATTAGCTAGCGATCATTCTCATCGATTTAACGTATCGCCGATTGAAGCGCAAATATCAATCGTATTATGCAATTTCCTTGGAACTTATCTACATTCCATTTGCAATCGATATCGTATGACGCGTGCGACCGTTTCCACGTGGACGAAGCGCGAGCATAAATGCAAGGCATTAATTTCATGTAAGTAAATCGTTTTAACGATGATCGTTGAATCCGATTAAATTTTGTATAACAGCACGTGTCCGATAATTACTTGTTGACTGTATGATAAATATCATTGTCAACAGTTACACGGCAAAAAATCATTTGATTAACTGAATCAATTAATTATTATGCCAAATTTGTTGAGCCAAATCAAATAATTACTAAAAATTAAAATTTATCTTATTTTTTGCTTGTAATTTCTCAAATTTTTCGCGTCTAAAATAAAAATTTAGAAATATAACGTTATAAAAATTGACATCAATAATTAAGGCATGCAAATTAGATTACTCGTAAAGCTCTTAATTAACATTTGACGGTAAATTCTACAAAAAAAATTCTTCACCGCATTTCAAATTTTTACATTTCATTTATGATTACACTTGGTATCGTTAAAATGCAGTTCCTTTTTTCGTCTGTGCGTTTTCGAATTAACTCATTGGTTGAGCAAGAAAAAAAGTAAGATGGCTTACCAACTAAATGAAAGATCGCTTCCTCGAAAGATCCGATGAATAATAAATAAGCCTCTCTCATGTGCCTGAAAAAAACCGGAAACAGATAAATAGCTGCGGAAAAAGTTACGTGGCTTATCTGAAGATTAGATAATAGCCATCCCACTCTTTTGCAAACAATTTTCAATACTAAATCGCTATAAGGATTCGCGTCCTCGAAATAATATCTCTTTGTGCTCCTCTGCTCCTCTCGTCTTTCTTGCCATTAAAAAAAAAAAAGAAATTCGAAAAAGAAATTCGCGCCGTTGATGATACAATTAACCATTTACTTAAATCCCATCTATCGTTAATTAATTAACGCCCAATAACGTAATATCACCGTACGCTCATTTCCCGATCCAGAAATGACATTGTCGGGGAAAACTGAACTAGACGGTTCCTGTCACCGCAACGACACAGTCATTTCCGATCCACTTCTTATCTGATTGTACGAAACGTTCGCGTAGGACAAAGACGCGTTCGCATAGGGTGACGCAGGTACGCGAGTACGCTTGATTCATCGCGGTCCCGAGGGATGACACGATGGAGCAAACGTCGCAGGAAGCACGGAGCTGCCGAGTTTCCTAACCTCTCACCTGTGCGGATGGATTCCCCCGAGGAGTTCGACCGCTCACCAAGCCGGCGGCGTCGGCCCGCGTCGCGCGTTACGTAAGTTAACCCACGATTCCCGCCCGCGATTACATGTTTCACTGACACGTTCGCAAGGCCGCCGGCGGCGATAGAGGAAGACGACGACGTACGCAACAACAAAGGAAAGTCTCACACCGTGCGCGCGAACGCGATGACTCCCCCGCCGCCGTCTCGCGTACGTAGTACACGTCTTTCTTTCTCGCCGCGCCGTTGGTGCCGACGTCGTCCGCGAGATGGGACGAGCGGCGCGCGCTCACGATCAGCTGATCGCTCCCGCTGCACTGCGCGGCTGCACTTCCTTTGTTGCACTTCCAAATGACTCGCAACGTGTACGGACTCGCGTGTATTCTTGTTTCGTCCTAATTTCTGAATGCTTAAGAAAAACTCCCTTCTTTAATTACACATCTATATTTTTTCTTTCCGCAGCGCTAGAATATAATTATGTAATTTAACGCGTTGGAACAAACTGCGGGGATTGAAAGAGAGTGTGTTTTACCGTGGTTGGACTTAACCTAAAATGCATTCACGTTTGACTACATCATAGAACCCTCGTGGAGAGGGTTAGGTTAGACTGAAGACGCCAATTGAGCGATACAATCGAAAAACTTGTCTCCGGACATTTCCGGGCAGGTCGACAACACGTGTCTCACGTAAGACGAAAAAAACAAAAACTTGAAGACGCAAATTCATCACTCAGAAGTTGGAGCAACACATCAAAAACTCTCCTTCACGTTGCATCGGTGAAAGAGGAGTCAAGCAGACGTTTTGCGTTCTTTCGAATTTACTTAAAGATATTTAGCGTTATCGCAATCATGTCGGCGACGCTGTCTGACGACGATAAACTGGCTTTACCGCAAAAGAAATTTTATAGACAACGCGCGCATTCGAATCCCATTGCCGACCACTGCTTCGAATAGTGAGTAGTTTTTTTCGTGCGTATTTTTACTCTCGTCGAGATTACAAAGCAGTCGTTATTTATCGTCTGTCATTTACACATTGCAGTCCGAGAAAACCGGAGTTGATGGATTGGAGCACCTTTTATCCACAGCACTTTCGAAGCGACGCCGAGCAAACGCCGGAGAAACGTGTGGAATTCGCGGATATTGGCTGTGGCTATGGAGGATTACTAGGTAATTTCTTTTTTTTAGGTCTCTTCCTTTTTTTTAACTATTTTACCGAAAAATCAAAGTAATCGACGAATTTATCCTCAGTTACCTTATCTCCGATGTTCCCGGACAGTCTGATACTCGGCATGGAAATCCGAGTAAAAGTATCGGACTACACCGTAGATCGCATCAATGCCTTACGGTCGCAGAATCCTGGCCAATACCAGAACATCGCATGCCTAAGAACAAACGCCATGAAATATCTGCCAAATTATTTCAGGAAGGGACAGGTAAATGAAAAGTGTTCTCAACTGCTCCATACATACAAGAGGATAGAATAGTCTGTGTAATTAATCTGTACCTTTAATCTGTCTAGCTGAAGAAGATGTTCTTCCTGTATCCAGATCCACACTTCAAAAAATCGAAGGTTAAATGGCGAATAATAAATAAGTCGCTGCTGGCAGAATATGCTTATGTTTTAGCCGAGGGGGTAAGTATCGCTTAGTTTGTTATATTCCTAGCAACCAACAGTAATATAATTTCCTATTCAACTATAACTATATAACCGTATTACAACACTTGTTACTTGTGTAAAGAATTAATTTTTTAAAATTATTACACAGGCTATAATATATACGATAACAGATGTGGAAGATCTACACAAATGGATAGTTAAACATTTCCAAGAACATCCACTTTTTGAAGAGGTTGCTAAGCAAGATTTGGTAAATACTCTTTTTATTTTCTTTTTCTTTTCTTATACGATACATGGAGATGTTGACAAATTTTATTGACGCAGGCGGAGGATCCTGTAGTTGAAAAATTATATGAGAGCACTGAGGAAGGCAAGAAAGTCACCAGGAATAAAGGAGATAAATTTCTGGCCGTGTTCAGGAGGATCGCGGATCCATATATTACAATGAATACCTAGTACCGGTAGTCACATGTAATTGTATATAGGGTGAGTTATTTAACTTTAAACACTTAAATATCTTACTCTAAAAAAAAACTAATGTAATTTTTTATATTTTTGGCACTAGAAATTTTATTCGCATTGTTATTAATTGTGTGCTTTTTAAATATTTCTAATAAATATCTCTTCCTGGCACATCTGAGTCTAAATTTAAACTACGTCTATATTTAAATTACGTTAGCAAAACATATCTTAGAAAAGGGCTTTAAAGGGTTTTTTTTTTGGAAACAACACAAAGTCTGATTTAAGAATATGTAATATGTGATAAACAGTATAATAGTAGTAATAGTTAATAATTAAGAAAGTGAAAAGTGACTTTAATTCCAAAGGTCAAACTGATTATTCCAATATATTAGTCTTTCGCCTGAATTATTTTTTTTCTGCTAAAATGCTTTCTTTTGAATATATTCAAATGTCAAATGACTCACCTTGTATAATTACACGGCAAAAGATATTCTAGGAGGTAACTCTGAAGGTATTAAGTCTGATAAGGTGGAGTCATATCTATCTTGACGCAGCAATAATGTTTCTGTGACAGAAGATAAGATTGTTGTAGAGAATAAGATTAATGATTATATTTTAAAAATAAAATATATTTCGTAATACCTCGTCTGATTGTGTTTCGCCTGCTCACGCTAGGTATCAAGTTCAAGTAGTCTGTGTGTCTGACGTCTGTATGTTGAACTAAATGTGCAGTTTTCAAAGCAAATTCTTCGTGCATTATGATGAATAACATCTACAAAATAAAGGCGATCGGCAATTAATCCTATGTTTAATAAATATTAATTGAATCAAAAATAAAGTACTACCTCTTCAAATACACGATTAATTAACGCTCGCGGCGGTGAAGTGTATGATCTTCGTATCAATCTTTTTCTTTCGTACGAACTCATTTTAAATTGCGAGTAAAATAAATTCAATCTTTCTCGCAAAATGTCCTGCATTAGATCTTTGAATAGTTTACTATTGATTATCTCCCTAAAATGTAACGAAGTGCATCAAACTACTAAAAACATTTATTTCACAAATAAATTAATCTAGATCCCTCTTGCTTATTATTGTAATATTTATGGAAATTAATATTTTACCACAATAGACCCTCTATAATGAATGAAGATCGACTAATATCTTCTTTTTCGAATGTCATTTTCTCGTTTTCTTCGATGCATATTTCTTTTGGCGGAGCACCTATTAATTCTTTCTTTAGACTAACTTTCAAAAGTTTATCTTCCACGCTGTATATAGAACATCGAATCGTTATGGCTTTGTAAAACGGATGAGGTTTTTCTAAGATCTTCGTCGGTAATTCCTATAGAGACAGAAAAAGTGTATAAATTTAGAAGTTTAAAGAGAAACTTTTTATCTTTACATAAATTTAACTTTCTAATCACTTTCTTGCAAGTTTTACATTAGATCTTTCTTAAATCAATCTTTTTAAAGCTTTAACATTTTACGGGAATATTTTGTATATTCTATTTACTGGAACGCTAATGCCTTTTTCCGTGATAGTAAACTGTTCTTTCAATTCTTGAGACAAGCCTTCATGAATATATACACTTCGCTGATAGATCCGCCTTTCGCTGGTATTAATAAACTTGCACGGTATATCAATATTAATCATGCAAGGGTATCCTTTGCTATATATATTTACACGAAAGCTTTTAGTGGACATTGGTTTTATCAAGCCTTTTCGCGGATAAATTTCCACGTGGATTAAGTCCGATATCTCACGTCTGAATGGTAAAGAAATATTAATTTCACTTAGAGAGAGAGAGAGAGAGAGAGAGAGAGAGAGAGAGAGAAAACCTTTTAGTCCGATTAATAATAATTCATTCTACAGTACTATATGATTTAATTTAAGCAAACCTTTTCCATTCGTAAGCGAGTACATCTTGCACCAAATTATTGTGTATCATAATCATTTTAACTACATGGCTGTGCGTAGCCATGTGAGAAACGTCTATGCAGTCAGTATTAAAGAATATAGGAATATCTTCGTCATCCTCGAAGTTACGTTCGCATGACACATATTCTCCAATTGTTGCTGGTTTATGTGGCAAAGAGGATTCGCCTTCAAGTGTCAGTTCTTCTTCTTTGTCACCCAAAGTTAAACGCAGTTTCCCCTGAGAAAGAGATACATCAATGAAAAGTTTTTTATTTGACGAGAAAAATGTATTCATTAATTTTGTCTACTTTTATTATATATATATACCTTAAATATGCCGAATCGTCTTGGCTGAAACTTTAAAAGAATTGGGACGGAAGTTTGCGGATTCGCAATTCCGCGTGGAGCCGCGCAGGAAAAAACCTTATAGCAATATTCCTGATTTATTTCGTACATCATTCTCGGGTTTATGGAAAACGGAATGCTGTGGTTCGTTCCATTATGCAGCCAACACACCTGAACAATTTTCACGTTATCGACATTATCATAATCTTTAAATGCAGCTAAAAACAAACCTGATAAATAGGATCCTTCTCTCCAATGTAAACATGCTGAAATTGAAAATGCGAACCATTTAAAAGATGGAGCTTATTATCAGAATCGGATAAAGATTCAATCTTCGTGACAAAGAAAATATGACGGTTATCTCCAAGATCCAAGTCGAACTTTGCCTCGGTCTCGCCTAGCAATACGTAATGTAGCTCTAGAGTTATCCAGGTCTCCTCTCTTGGCTGCATTTTATTGAAACGATGATAATAAATTAAACGACGATGATAAATTAATGATAAAAAAATTACTATAACATCAGGAATTAAGGATTATACTTTTAGATTTCCCGTTTTTGGCAATATAGAACACACTTTCCTATGCAAGCAATCGTATTTCGCACGTGGAAGAGATTTGAAGCCTTGAATCTTTGTAACTGGCCGGCAGGAACAGAGCTGTATTTTTTTTATATTCCACGAAGCAGTCACTTCAGCTGCGTTTATTAGAAGCAATTTTACGATAATCTTTGGGCTTTGTAAAATCATTGCCGGGAAATTAATGTGCAACGTTTGTGACGTTCCCGGTTGCAAATCTCTGAGTAACATATTGAGCCTAGAAATGCATGCACACACACATACATATAATTAAGATCATTGAATTATGCGTTTATACAAAATCGAGAAATGACATGAAATTCCATATACGTGTTTATTTTCATCAGCTTCCAAAAGAGAGCTTTGCTCATATCCGGATAAGATCCGCAACATTGCAGATCTATCACCTATCGTTCATTAAGAAAGAACAATCATTCCATTTATTACAATTATATTATTTCGTCAAATCACAATTACATTTATATTTTTAAAATGCGCTTCTATTGGTAAATTTAAAAAAATAATACTATATATGAATTCATTTTTACCTTCAAAGTAGGCAATATACATAAACAGCGCACTTTACAGATATTCCTCGGTGTCTGACTCGGGATCAACGTGTTCATGTCAGAACTCATTCTCATAAAATATTGAACGAAAAATTCGTAATATCCCGGAATAGTGGGTGTGATAAAAATAGTAATGATTTTCTCTTGTCCGGCAAGAACGTTATCCACGATCGGATGTATTTTTACATCACGTTCTATATTCCCGACTGGCCAATTGCAATGGTTACGTGTTATTTTGTAATAGATGTTTACGGGACTCAAATTAGATACGTGAAAACTTAATTCTTTCGTATCGTTGTACGCTTGGATTCCGAAGTTCAATTCGTCCGGCGTTGACTAACAAACACATTAACAATATACATTATTAAAATTATTTTATTATAAGATTTTTACTATTTTGTTATTATTCGTTATTTTAAAGAACCTATTTATATTATTATTTAATTTATTATATTTTTATTATTTATTAATTAACTTACCACAAGAAAGCCAGATTCGCATCTTCCTGTTACATGTAATGTTACACAGACGCTAAAGCCAACGGGTATTCCCTCTTTCAGTACGATTAATAAGCAATTTATATCAAACTCGTAGACTCCAAGTACTGTAGGACAGAAGAACCATTTGTGAGTGATGATATCGTTCGCGCAAATTTTGCCATATCCATTTCGCATTTGAAGTTCAGGCGCCACGTTAATAAATTCATATCTAAAGGGGGGGGGGGAATCGACGTTATACAATATATAGTTACACAATCACAATAATAAATTAGAATAGTCTACTCTCTTAGAAATGCTTTTAATTAATTTTTTATAATAACAAAAGTGATTATATAGATACAATTAAAATACAGTTTTCATTACTTGATGTCTAACTCATTTTTATTACTAAGTATTAGTATGTGTGTATTTTATTTTTGGAATTAATCATTATGTAGAAATTTACTTTATTGTATGTCGAGTGATATTTCGCATGCAGAACTGCTGCGGGGTCTGACAGCCTGGAAATGTCGGTGCGAAGCTCACGATATCTCTGCCGCAGAAACTGACATTCGCGTATTCTGTGTATCCCTGAAAATCTATGAAACATTCCGATTTCGTGTTTCCGTTGAAACGTATCGCCCAACGTTCCATATAAACGCGTTCGTCATTGTTTTCGGGTAACATGCCGACTACAATGATTTGATAATCTCTGAAAGAATCATAATGCCTCGTTGAATAGGTATAGAAACTGAACATGGTATTAGACGTACTAAAAAAATACAATATAAATCGTTTTAAATACTTTGAAAAAGATGAATGTAAAGATAAATATAATATGCGGTAAATTATTTATGTAATATATGCGGTGCGCATTGCAATGAGATTTCGCGCGAAATCCGAATAATTAGATGCTGCGTTCCATGCATGAATTGCATGATGCTCATGATATATCATTTCATCTTTGTTATAACATTCGGTGAGCAGGAATAAAATGATACGTCACGCGCATCATGCGTGAAATGAAACGCAGCCAGAGATGTGTAGAATTTGATATTATAAACGCCAGTACTGATGAATTACGCCCATCATCGGCTTCACGACGAAGTGGCTCGATGCCGGTGGCACAAAGCGATACATCAGCGGTAGATGCCCGTATTTTCGTATCAGGAACGTGGTGTACGTCGATGACGACGGCATGCAAGGGAACATCTTAACTACGTGAGGTGCCTCGTACTGCGGAATCCAACCATCGGAGCAAACGGGAAAGGAGTGGCCTGCGCAAGAAAGACGGATCGAATTAGATAATCGGCGGTGTCATGCAAAGAGATGAGGAAAATGCGAGAGACCGAGAAGGAAAGGAGGGACGTACGCACCGATTAGTCGCACGGATGTGATCGCGGGGAACGTCAGGGCTTCTTCTCCGGAGTGGTTTTCTTGTCGTTCGACAAAAACATCTCCGACGAGGTCTCTCGCAAAGAAATTACTCGCTCGGTCGGGACTGAACGTGACTTCGAACAGAGCCGTCTGACTCGCCGGTATCCTCGCAATAGTGGGTGTTATAACGAAAATTTCTTTGACGTCTACATACGAGATTAATTAATTATTTAATTATTACGTTTGTAACCGTCTAATTTTAATGTCTGCGTCCACTTTTAAAACAATCCTACAAGTAAAAAAAAATAGAAAGTAAAAATAAAATGTTAATATAATAACGTATATTGATTTGATAAACGACAACCATGATCCCATTTAATTAATACGTCGGACTGGCTGTGATTAGTGAGACACAGGGTTTCCGGAATTTTTCGTGTAGCGTTTTCCACCTCCACGTCGGCCTGGCCAAAGTCGATGCAATTCTTCGATGAAGAAATCGCAGGTAAATCTTGCGCGGCGATGACAGTATCACTCGTGTATCCTTCGAAGCCATTTTTTAATCTCGAAGGATAATTAAAGCGGCTATGTATGATTTTACATAACGCCGTGCAGCAGTAGCCGTATAATTCTATGATAATCGGTTTCTGTAAAATGTATCAGCGTGAATACTTCACGTAAACAAATAGAACATTTTTTTTATGTATGCATGATAGAATCACAAACAACCTAACGCAGAGGGTCGGCACACTTTTTCCGACAGAGTGTCGACAGAGTGAAATACATTTTAATGAGTCAAAAAGATATTACGTATAGTATTTACTTTTTCCGACTGAGTGGAAAATATTTTAGTGGGCCAAAAAATATCACGTAAGATTAGTAAGAATTAAAGATAAAAAAAAGATTCGCAGAAACTTTTTGGCGACGATATTCGAAATGTAATGATAATAACTTTGCGCAGGCTGCACGAAATTTAAACGGCGGGCCGAGTTTGGCCCGCGGGCCGCAGTTTGTCGATCCCGCGACTTACGTATAAAGATCGCGCGCCTTAGTGGAAATTGCAAATTCAAATTTTCCCAATTACATGATTCAGGATCAAACACGGGAAGTGGCGTGCGTAGATCCCGGCTTCCCGCGGCGCGAAGGTAATCGTTACGCATTTGCGAGAGGAGGGCTCGATGTGCCCGTGCCGTGGATTCGCTTCGAACGGCTGCCGAAGCGGGTCGACGTCGAACACGAAAGTCGCCGTGGCTTTCGACTCGTTGACGAGCCTGATCCGCTTTTTCGCCAGGCGATTCTCGCTCGTGCACACCATGACTAATCTCGTGACGGACAACGAGACCACGGGTCCTGCGTAACGTAAGTGATGATCAATCTACGTCACACGGTGACGAAAAAACGCTTCGTCACGTATGCTATCGATTTCAGAACACGCGTGCCTGGATAATTAATGATTCATAACGTAAATTAAGTAGGATTTATCCATTCTTATATAATTCATTACAGGGATCTCGAGTGACGTGCGCTTTTCAATGAAAAAATGTATACGTATATAGAGTCGTTATAATTATCTCTTTCTGAATCCGCTGACGTCTGCCTTCGATAATTGAGTTCCTCGAAATTCAGCGAGCTTATAACTTACAAAAGATCCACGAACGATTTCTCGAGACTGTTAATTGAAATACATATACCGATGCACGTTCCGCGAACTTGGATTTCCGCGCGTCCGCCAGCTGAATCCACGATCGTAAAGTAATCTACGTTTACGGTGAACGGCACGAACGGTCGATAGTATATTTTGCACTTGTACGCATGGCCAGGAAGCAGAGACCACGAATAGCAGCATAATTCAAACACGTGATCCAGCGGATTGGTAGCCGCGTCTCTTCGAGCCTCGTAGATCTGCTCGATCTGTATCACATCATCGATCAGTGCTCGCAGCAACGTGAGTGCACTCTCGCAAAATGCTGAAGGCTTTTACAAGCAAAATGACAAATAGAATAAAAATTTTAGACAAATTGTTTTTGTTATTTCTTCATTCATATTCGCTTCTATAATCATTTAGATCGCAAAACTAAATGTTTAATCGCTCTTTTTGAATACTTAAGCGCATCCAAAAATTTACATTTCTCTTCGGACGCATTCTTTTGAATTAACCGAAGTTTTGGTCAAAATTATATTTTTGGGCATAGGAAAGAAATGAACGCAATTTTCAATTATTACAACCTACGGCATTTAATTAACCTTTTTTTTATATATTTATATATATTAAAAAATTATTTATTATAACTCAAAATGTGTGAGGAGCAATCTACTATCTTTTTTAATCAAAAAATTGATACTTTGGCAATTTTCAAATACATTCTCTTGTGAATTAAAATTCTGATCAAAATTCAAACATTATAGACAAAGAGTTAAAATATTAACATAATCCTCTTTTTAGATTTTATATCCAAAATTCATTTTATACAGTTTAAAAATGCAGAAAGTAATTTGCTCTCTTTTTAAATTAAAAAAATTGATATTTTGATCATTTCAAGTGCCTCCTTAATTCAATCGAATCGTCCAAGAGCGAAATCGTTTTTAAGATGTTGACAAGGACACTAACGCAACTTTCGTTGACTATCACCAGGCACTTGACGGCCGCGGCGCCCGTTTCTACCTCGCCGAAGTCCACCTGAATTTTTCTACTCGCTTCGCAGCGCATTTTCTCTTTTCGTTTCTATCTGATTATCGAGCAACATTTCCTTCTTTCTCTCTCTCTCTCTCTCTCGTCCTCCCTCTCCTTCCATCGCTCCGAGAAGAGCGGCGCAAGGATCTCTCTCATCGAGGTCTCGATCGCGCGATCGATGTCTGTCCTCTCGAAGGCAGACGGCGTCGGTCGACTTTCGGTCGGGACTTGTTTGGTCGTCACCCCCGGAGGGGGGGGGAGATGTGACGCGGGTGACGCATCTCGTGTGAGTCGTGGTGAATCGTGATAAACGTCGAACGCGCAATCCGCTCGCACGACTCCGCGCGCGAGAATAATCCTCCAACGTCGGCGTTTCAACAAGCGGCGCAGTGTTACCCGTCGTCGCTGCCCGTGCGAAATCCGGGAGGTGGAGGGGCACGCTCCTCGTGCATCCTGTATGGCGACTCTGTGGTGACACCCAGCCCTGCGCGGTCGCGACCCGAGAAGATGGGAGCCCGGGACGCAGGCGTCGTCTACCTGCTGATCGTGATCGCGCACCTGTGCACGTGCGCCCGTTACATTAATCGCGTCAATTACAAGGAGCGTAAGTCTCGAATCGGGCCACGGCAGAGAGGCATCTCTCAGTATTCTGTCTTTCTCGCCTTAACCTCACTTGACACTTCTCTCACACTGGTCTGTCTCTCTCTCGTCCCTCTCTCCCCCCGTAGATCAACTCGAGAGCGACAAGATATGTCATATCCACAACAAGAAGCAGACGCTCGACATGCGCCCCGGCATCGGGGCGATCGTCACACCGCATTACATGTTCGACCGCTGGACGAACGTCAAGACCGATCGCGAATGCTCGTTCGAGTTCAAGACCAGCAAGGCCGAGGGCGAGGGCCGCGAGGGCGTCTTCGCGGTTATTCAGAAGATGTATCTCCGCCGCGACGGCGATCGGTGCATCGATTACGTGCAGGTAAGTTGTGGACAAATTGCAATTCTACGGTGCCACAGTCACGCAAGTCGATACTTGACAAGACAGTTCCGTTAGTTCCAGAGAAGCGACGGTCACTGGACGAGCAAGTTCTGCGGGGAGCTGGACCGCAGCCAGGCGACGTATCTCCCGGTTCCCGAGCCTGAGGACAATTCGGGTAACACCAGCTGGCCGAGGTCGTCCAACTTCATGTACGCGGAGTATGACCCCATCCCCGTAAAACGTAGGGATGCACCGTGGAGATGGACAACGGACTCCGCCAAAATAGGAACCAAGATATTCATTTCCAAGGAAAGCGTGCCGGACGGACAGTCCCTGGACCTCACTATAGTCTACACCCCGTACAAAAGTACGTTTCCCTAACGTCATTTTTTTTTTCACGTCAAATGCGACGCGACGACAGTGCTGATCGACAATTCCATTTCGTTAGGATGCGATCAGGCCGATTTCGATTACAAGCCGGTCGGATACAACAACTGCATTCGGAAGGAGTACATATGCGACAAGATCTACAACTGCCCCCTCGGCGTGTGTTCGGACGAGGCGAATTGCACGGTCAACGATCGCTACCCCAAGGACGACACCGCCACGAAGGTCACCGTGGGTGCGGTCACCACCATGATCCTCTGCTTCATCATCTTCGTTATGTGCCTGTGGATCTGCAAGAAGTCGCAGAAGCTGTGCTGGTCGTCGGACTGCGCCGGCCCGAACGCGTGCTCGCGACCGGTCTCCCTGCCGGACGCGGACGGGATTCAGGGATCCAATCGCGGGGTACCGACGGCCCCCATGCTGGAGGTCGCGGTGTCCTCGCCCGTCGCGGACAAGGATCTGCCGCCCAGTTACGACTCGTTGTTCCCCGAACAGAGTAGCCCAGCCAGATCGTAAGCCATTCGAACTCGTTCGAGCACTCGTTCATGAACTGAGCGCATTTTAAACGTACCTCGTCTAATGTTTTAATTAGGCGCTGCGTTGTCGCGCATCCGGTGAGTTTACAGGTCTGTTCTTTATACAGCTGAACTGGCTGTTCACCAGTTTCAGAGTTTATCTTTCTTCCTCTCGATGTAGAAAACAAGGAGAAACTGTGAACCAGTGCAGCCAGTTCAGCTATAGAGAACAGGCCCAATTGGACCGATCTTTCTCCACGCACACGCGCTGCGTTCTGCGAGCAGGATTTTTTTTTTCCTGCGAAAGAATTACAATCTGATGAATTAACAGATGTCGCGTGCATCAGTTTCAATTCTGTCATGTAGTCGATATTCCCTGACAGTGTGAGTCGAGCTCGCAGCTTCAGGGCTAATAACGTTATGGATACGTCATTTATATAACTAGAACGCGCGAAGCTACATGACACTAACTGTTGTTCTTTGTTCGTTCTTCGACAATGAATGAAGTTGGTCTTAATTAATCACAACGAATTGTCGCATGCATCAGTTTCAATTATTTTGACCAAAGTAATTATATTTGGAGCACTGCTGCTCGTTCACCGTCCGCATATATCCATTTACGCCACTGCATGCAGTACATTTACACGCGCAAGTGCTGCTGTATTAACATTACAGTTTGTACGTTGTTTCTTTTTGTATATTAAAGTGAGATTACGTGAAATGCAGCGGTTAATAGGATTACTCGGTTAAGTTTCTTTTTTCTTATTGTATAGTTTTTAAAGTTCCCGTTTCTTCACTGCAGCCTTATTGAATTATGACGTCAGGAATGGGAAATTGTGATTTATTTTTTCCTGCAGTATACGCTGAAATAAATTAAATTTTTTCATAAGCCACTATTAAGTGTTCAATAGCGTATTGCAAGAAAAAAAATTCATATGACGATTCTGACGTAACTTGTGGTTGCAGTAAGGAAACAGGTGTCTTAAATATGAATTTCTACGTTTTGTATTATTTTCTAATAAATATTGAAGAAATAATAAATCACGAGAATTTTGTCCGTCGACGACGAAGGAATAGAGGTCTCAAAATAGCTTCCTAATATTTGATGAAATATTACAATTTTCCGTGTCAAAATAACGGTGCAGTATTTTTTTAACTATTAAATTTAAAGATACATCTCATGGACTTTTACATTTGTGTTAGTTTCAAATATTTCAGTTAATGTTGTTATACATCTTACTTACGACGTTTGATAACAATATCTCGAAAAAAAAGAATCTGATGGGATCTGTTGTGTTCATAGACATTCGTGTAACGAGTGGTATGTGAACTTATTGTAGTATATATTTTGATAATGCTACGCATTATCATTTACTTTACATGAATATGCGCGACATATATATACACATATCTATATGTATACATTATATATACATATAGATACAGATATATATAAATAAAATAATTTTTCGTAATTGTTCACTTTAGGGGAACTACCTCCGATGACTCTGACTGACATATGTTGTCAAGGTGGTGAAAGCACTTCTAATGACTTTGCTCTTGGCATATGTTGTCTATGTAGTGACTCTAAGTGATCTTCAAAAAGTTTTAGCCGTCGCTCGTTTTAAAAAATTATTAATAAAAATGTAAAAATTAACGGTAATTATTCACTTAGAGGAATCACCTCCTATGACATTAATCTCGCTTCGCATGAAAAGTACAAAAAAAAATTGAAAAGTTTTTGATGTATGCATATCAAAAACTTTTCAGTTTTTTTGTTTATAACTTTTTAACGGACGACGAGCGGCAGCTAAAACTTTCTAAAGGTCTCAGGATCATGACCTTGACAATATGTCATATGTCATATGACATATGTCATGGTTAAAGTCATCGAGGGTGCTTCCCTTAAAGTGAATAATTACCCAATTTTTGTACGTATATTAAACATAAAAATGTTATAGAACGTATACAAATCTTAGACGAGTGCGTATATTTTTAGAGATTGATTATTATGTAAGAATCTTTATAAAATGTATGTAATAAAATCGTGTAAATATTCATTTTGTGATAATAAAGATCTATGTATATATACACATACACACCCACATACAATCGAACGCTGTGAATTATTCTTTGTCTTCGGATTTTGTAGCCGTATGCTCCAGCAACCACAGACAATTGTTGATAACGTGATCGATCTCAGCTGGTCCAGTTGACAACTGATGATTGTCGTCATACACGAGCATCCTGTGACGTCAAATCTTTTAATAACGACGCAAGATTTTTACATCCGCAGTATTTAAATAAATGCCAAACTTACTTAGTTTTCACTTTGTTAATTTTGAGCCGGTTGTACCACATCGTTCCTTGGGAGGATGGCACACGCAGATCCTTCGTTCCAATGCAGACCAAGGTCGACGCCTTGACTTTGTCGACGTGCATGATGGGCGAGCATTTCCTCATTTTCACGATCATGTCGACGTCTTCGGGTCCAGGACCAGTAGCGTTGTTGGGAACACCTGTCTCCACAGCGCACCTGCAATAAAAAATTAAATTACGTTAGTGCGTGATTACTTGATGCGAATTTAAACATATTTACCATGTTAAACCATATATAAATCATCGTCACAAATATAATTCATGTATATTTAGACAAAAAGAAGACTATGTATTTCAGTCAAATTTATAGCCAAATTCCGTTGGACGCACTAGTGCGCAGTCAATGCACATTAAAGTCATTGTACACAAAGCGACATAAAGATACGAATTTGATATAAATATTGAAACGGGTTAAATCCTCAGTACACTTTTTATCGTACTATTTGTCAAATATTTTGGGCTTTTTATCATTCGAAAGATATGTCACTTTTACATTCAGATTAGATCGGTACACAACGGCTTTAATATGCGTCAGTGCGCATTAGTGCGTCTGACCGAGTTCGCTATTATCGCGACTACTGATACATCTGAGATAACGATTAAGCTTACACATTACGAAGATACGCTATTTTCTCTTCCTTAGTCAGAGCATTGCGACTGAAATACAAATATAGGATATTGAATAATTAGGACGTCGCGAGGACTATCGCTGTTAAATATCAAGTATCTCTTTACCAGTCTGGGATGTCGGATGTGCCGAACATGGTCGCGATATCGATTACCGGATTTCTTGCAACTACCGCTTTGAATAGATCCTAAAATAAAACCAGTTTCTACAATCCCGATATTTCAAATTAATGCATTATCATGTAGATTTATCGTCTGACTCGCTTACTGGAGCTTGCCCGCTCAAATGTGCCACCAAGAATCCACCGTGAGATCCGCCGCAGAGACCTATGCGTTTAGGATCGAGCCAAGGATATTTCTTGATCGCTTCCTGCGTAGCGGTTAGGCAATCCTTCACGTCGACGGTTCCGACTTGTCCCTGAAGATACTCCACTGTCGCGCTGCCCATTCCCGTGGAGCCACGATAGTTCACTTGCACTAACGCAAAACCTGAATTGTGTGCAGAATCAATGTAGTGGAACTCTTAAATATCACGTATACAAAGAGAAAGATATGATTTATCTATTACCTGCTAATACCAGGAACGAACACTCCAGAGAAAATACGTTTGCATAATTGCTGTGAGGTCCTCCATGTGGCAGAACTATAAAAGGCACCGATCGAGCCTTACCACTTTTCGGGCCGAAATAAATGTAGTTGAATTGCTCTGAAAAGTGAGGAAGCGACGAGTCAAATATCTCCATCCAAGAAAAATTGTGCAAAACGGTAACACGATTCACTTACTTATGCTGTCGTCGTTATCATAATTATACTCATTTTGCTCGTATGTAATTTCTTCGAAGCCCTGAATTGCCATTGGTGTTGTGAGCGCAATCCTGGAGATATCGCCGATGTCTGCCGCTTCGCTGTTGAAACGACCTATCTGAAGGCTGGAAGACTGCGTTAAGGAAGTGTTCAGAAAAGCAATCATGTCTCCCTTTACATCCAGTATAGAAAGGCTGCTCGTGTCGTTTCTTATCTCAGTGATATCTTTCGTTTCTGTAAAGAGAATTTATTATTCTTTTAAATGGCAAAAAAAAAGAATAAAGCATCAAAAATCACATTTTAACCGATAAAACTTCCATATCTTACTTATATTCACGACATATGAGACGATATTGTTCCTTTGAGGCGTGCTGAAAAATAAGTACTGAGAATCGTCGCTCCAACAACGACGTGGTAAACGACCGTATATCCCATAAAACTGTTTGTTATGATTCATCGTTTTACTCGTTCGCACTGCTTCCACGATCTCGACAGTCTAAATGTAAAAACAGAATAATTCGAAGCTCAAAATATACTAAACATATTTTCCTTAATTTTCGATACTTGTAATTAATAATCCTTAATTTATTACATGATCTTGCTCCACGCTCAAATCTCGCATTACAAGCTTGTGCACATTATGATGTGGGACGGCACCTGCTTCTCTCTGCAGCCACACGAGGCAATTTCCATCAGGACTGATTCGAGGGCTGTGCACAGCACATCCATCATCGGACAATTTCCCTGTGCAACAAAAGTGTTATTATTTACTTTCTGCTATTTCATACATATCTGCTATATTAATTGTTTAAATGTTCCTTACGATATTCTCCATTCTTCAATAAAAATATCCAAGAACATCTATTGGTGCACACGGTAAGGCCTAAGTATAGCGGCTCGTGCCTCCAAGCGACGCCGATTATATCCTGATCTTTCGTCCAAATCACTTGACCGGGAGAAAGTTCATCTGGTATTCCAGATAGAATTGTAATGGCATCCACCGTCGTGTCGAGGACAGCAATAACAGGTCGGTGTTTACCTACCAATTGCTCTCCCCAATGTGGTTTGTAGATGTATTCATTTCCCTGCATCAAGAAAATTAGATAAGATATATACATATACACAGAGCTCTACAATTATTTAAAGAAACAAGAAATCCTACCACCGTTACTTCGTTATCCTCTTTCTTCTCCTTATCTTTATCCAGTGATTTCTGTTTGTAAAACGGCTCCGACTTAGGAAGCTTCTTTTCCGCTATATACAGAATCTTGGTATTATCCGGAGACCATTCAAACGAACGAAACTCGGCTATAAAAAAAAGCACATAGTTATATATAGTGATATATTTTTGAAAAATTATAAGAGTTTGAGATAAAAGGTCGAAGCAGTTTTTACCATCTGTATAAACATCGCCATGGACATCCAGAGCAGACAGATCATAATTCTTCACAAAACGTTCTTTATCCCAGATTTCTATGAACTGCTTTGTGGAATTATCGATCGTGGCCTGTCGCAACACGGCTCTACGCTCCTCATTCTTCGTCAGGGTTGACATCAATCTGTTCGAAACAGATATATTGAAATGCAGGCAATACTTATGTTACACATACGTCCAATGACATGTCCAAATTACGTACTCTGTAGTAATATCGATTGGAAATCTGGTAGAAAACGAAATAAACGGATAGACCTCCGAGCTCGAGTCATAATGCTGTAAGAAGCGTTGATCCGTCTTTCTCTCCAGATTCCTCTGCGTCCATAATGCTTGTACGGACAGCCTGCCATTCGCAGTACCCAAAATCTGTGCGCTGCTCAAGAATGGATACGCAGCCAAAGATTTGTACAGATTCACCAGTTCCTTGATCTGCAAGCATACTCTCTGTGCACAATTATTTCACACAATCGCATCGCTCGATATAGAAAAGAAATTATTGGCAAAGATATCAGAAACACATAAAAAAAGTCATACCTGTCCCGATGCCATTTTCTGACTACTTTCTGTCACTTTCACCAGTTTTACCTAGTCACCAACCTTTTATAGCATGAACTGACAAACAGACTGTCTGTTGCAATTCAAGCTCACGTTTATACTTGCGCCGATAACAACAAAGATAAGCGACGACTGGCGACGGTGCACAATTTGCACTCTTAATACCGCTTTATCTTTCCATCACCGCTTGACAATGAATAAACCGCTATTCAAGAAAGATCTGAAAAATTGTATCATAATATATTAAATTGAAATCATAAAAAGCGATGGATTACCGAATACAGTTACTGTCTGTAGCATCTCACCCCAAAACAAGGTTGAAGGTTATAGGAGGAATGGAACACGACAGCTCCGGCTACTACACTGCCACATCTACCACTATATTACCGGCGTCGGCGTCACGTTTTGCATGCGTGTGTTTTGCGTGCATATGCGTATATAAATACCTTTGACTATATATAGACAAAGATAAATACGACGAGCATGTGGCCTTTGTTGAAAAGGACAATCCTTTATTTCAGGTAGCTGACCTTTTAGATTTATTTTTTCAAAACTCGATTAGTATCCTTTATTTTAATAATACGCGAAAATGTAACATATATAAATATAATATAATTTTGTTATTTAATTTGGTAACATTAATACAGAAATTAAAAAATTTCTTTTTATTAAAATTATTCAACTATCAGATTAAATACGTTTTTCTTTTTTTATTATTTCGAACCTATTTCGGATTTAAAAATCAAAAGGGCTTGTTCCATTATAACAATCGAATCAATTTCAATCGATCTGAAAATTGCGTGGTATTTTGATTTTGTTAAAAGGTACTACGCAAGAAAATTTCGTAATGCGCATATATATAATATTGATGCAGTCACAAACTGGTTTGATTTAGAGACATGTAGGACGAAAGCCTTAAAATTTTCAGATTTTCCTTTATTTTCTTTAAGAAAATATTTATATACAATAAAGGAAAAGCAAAGAAATCAGGCAAAATTCATATATTAAAAAATAATCTAATGCGGGTATTTTCTAGCAACTCGTGCCCCTTCTATATTTTTATAATTTGCAAAATAGATATTTCGGCAATTCTTATGGAAAAAATTGAATTTACAAAAAAACTATTGGAAATGATTGGAAATTATAGAATAAAGCCATTCACACAAATTCAATATATATTGTATACTATTCGTTCCAATAGTTTTTTCCACTTAATCCAATAGTTTTTTTTTTTTTCACAAGAGATGCATTACTATATTATTATATGTCCTTCCCAAGTAACACACGATTAGTCACGAGAAGATCAAGATAATGTCATCTTGACATTTCTCGTGACAATCGTGTGTTACTTGGGTTGTAAATTTCTGGCGATATGTACATATACCTGCAGTAAAAATGTATCTTTCAAACATTACTGATACATATTACATATGTTATTGGAATAATAAAGACATATGCCTTTAAAAAATTTTTTAATTCTATATTTTGTTTATTGAATTTTATTAAATAGCTTCAGGTCGTATCCATGATCAATTTTTTCAAAAAATTTTTACCAAGTTTTTTGTAATTTTTTTATCGGTTTTTTAGCTGATATACGAGATAGCCAAAACATTCTTAATAATATATAAAGTAAAAAGTAGACTAGTAAAGGTAACTGAATAAATATTACATAAGGTTTTTAACTTCTACTTTGTATTCAGTTAAAAAAACTCATGTAATATTCATTCGTGTGAATATTACCTATTGTGTATACGAGTGCATATTTATTGCTTCATTTTCTTCACCAAGTTTTCTTTGACCACTTATATTAACAATAATTTATAACACGATAGAGTTTCCATAATTTTAATATAATGCTGTTCATAAATCAGATACATAAAAAATTGATGCAGCAAAATAAATCTATTTACAATCTATAGCTTACACACTTTTTACAATAGATATACTTGCGACTTAATAATACGATTATATATACAGAATGTGTCTCTAAAAAGGTAAATGTTCGCAAATGAAAATATATTTTATACTGCAAAGGCGATAAAAAATATCAGAATTAATATTTTAATACAAATTCTGATAAATTATTATTAGAAGTTTGTCAAAATAGAAAAATAAGAATTTTACTGTTTGCGATAGGCATGATCAGTTATGAATCATTTGATACAATTAATAAAATTGTTAACAATAAATATTACTATCTTACATATTTGAATAAAAACTTATATTTTGAATAAAAGCCAAAGATTAAAAAAGATTAAAATAATAGGATACAAATAATGTTATAATTCACAATAACATATTCTGGACACATTCATGATCCTTTAAATTTTTGCTTAAAACGTCCGAAAACTCTACTGGTTTCACACTTGATCGCTCTAACTGAATATATATAATTATCTTGATCTGAATATATATAACTATCAATCCAAGTCTAGCAAACAATCTTTTGAAATTAAAGGAATAAATAGAATAAGATGTAAATCAAAATAATAGCAATAGGACTGAATTTGTTGTTCATCAAATTTTTCCGCGTTTGTACGCGTACCGCAAATAATTAACCGATGTTCCAAATTTTTAATGAAATGAGCATAACACGCGTGGTTGGCATACATTCACACGCATCCGCACGAATATACAACATATCTACAAGCATCTCTTACGTTACACATACCACGGGCGTTGTTTAACGTGACAAAGAATTTTCATTTAATGAAAAGAAAATCAAACTTTCTACACAAAATAATTATCATTAATAATAAAAATTAAGATACATTTGCCAACAAAACCTTACAATTCTTACACTATCGAAGATCCAGCAGTCGTTAAAGTCATTCTTTCTTGAATACAAAATCGGTTTCTATATCAATTCCGTCTTCAGTCTACTCATTATATTCTATAGGAATCAAGAGCAAAATATGTTATATACGATAGTCAAGTAATATTTGTGATAAAAAACAGGCCAACTATTCGATATTGACTCTTCTAAACTTCATTGGACTTTGCATCCTTGAACGTCAACAGTTGTATGTTAAATAACACTTTACAAACATCAATTAATCATGTGCTTTTTAACTCTTTTTTGTTAAACATTTTACAACAAGATATTAGGATTGCTATTAAAACAGCAAGTAAAACTCTAGTTTGCGCGCTATATCCAACTTTAAAATATATCTCTATATAGGATAGATATGTATTAAATATCAACCGCTTTCCAAATGGCTGATTTCTCATATAATTTCGTTCGTTTACATGATATGAACGTTATTAAAATCTCTTTATAGCATTTTATAATAGTGCTTTCCAAATATTATTGCAATGTTGCGTCAAAAAATCACGATAGACACATATAGTATATAAATAAATATAAAATAAAAATCACGATCCAAGAAATAAAATAAAAATCACAGTCCAAGAAAATTCATTCTTTTTACTATTGTTATTCATTTTGAAGTCCGGAGGGGATTTCAAAAGCGTTCATATTGCATATTCGACAACGAAAACTGCAAAAATTCCAAACAGTCTTCAAGAGGATTGAAAGAGTTATTTCGCTAAATTCGAATTTTGACATCGTTCGATAGGCGATGATCTAATTGTAAGTTTCGAGTCTCGAATTTTGGCGAATAATCATTTGCAAAGTTAGAGACTGGTGTAAAATTCTTCTCTCGTGCGTTAACAGCATTGAAAATTATATCGTTTGTGTCGCTCGATTTCAATCCTCGTTTCTCCTGCAGACAATCACCGTACGTCGTGATCGAACCGCAATTTCACGTCGCTTCGGAGCGCACTCAAATGGTTTATAGAGTCGCACGTTGGCATCGGATATCGCTTCATCGGCTTCGAGCATCGGAAATAAACCTAAGCAATCCAAGACAATCCGTCTTCGCATTCTAACGAGCGAGTCGGCAGCTTTCGCTCTCTCCCGTGATTTTCGCTGCGCAATTACTTGCCGAATATCGCGGCTTTCTGCCGGAATTGCTCCCGCCTCGCCGCCTTTTCCTCCTCCTCCCGCTTCCGCTCTTCCTGCTCCATGCGAATCTCGTCCTCGAATTTCGAGGACTTCCGGAGCTGCTCGATCTGCGAAAAAAGATGAAAGAAAAGAGCGTTAAGCGAAATGCGACTTCGGGTTACGCTTTCGCGCGTGTATTTTTTTTTTCTTCAACGCGCACGATACGCTGAGGTAGCTTTCTGGGCCTGATCCATGTCATTTATATGACTGCCTGTGTAAATAGGAAACGCAGGCTGCGTCCGATTATGCGATAACGAACCGGACAAGATTTGATAAGAGGCTTATATTTTTTCCTGGTACTAGCTGTGAAGCCAGTAGTTCAGTAAAAAGTCATAAGGAAATATAACAGTCTTGATTTTTATAATAATTTATAGCCTTCATTTATATTTTCGATTATTGTATTCTAAATATACAAAGGGTTTCAGGACTCACGGGACAAATTTCAGGGGATGGTAGATCTTAACAAAAGAATTAATTTGCAATCTGTGTCCTGCGACGCATTTTTAAGGATCTATGCATCTTTGTTCGTTCCGGTTGTAAAATACGCAATATATCGATCGCGTGTTGCAGCATTGCGTGTGACATCTGACAATACTATTCCACATTTTCGTGTTCTTTTGCTGTTTTTTTTTTTGCAAAAATAAAATCAAAAGACGTGAACTATTGTTAGACGTCACGCGCGACCGCATGCGCGGTTTTTTAAAAATGTGTCGGAGGACACAGGTAGCCTACAAATTGATTCTTTTGGTGAGATCTACCATCCCTTGAAGTTTGTTTCATGATTCCTGAAACATATATGTATTATATATATATATATATATACATATATACACAGTATATAAGTTACATAAAAATCTAATACAATTTCTAAAAGAGTATTAAAAGTAATTAATAGTTTAAAAATTCAAATTTTAAAGTTTGAAGTTATAAATATGAAGAAGAGAAGTTTACTTGGACATTTAAGTAATGGTTAACTATTTAAGCGTAAAAGGAAAAAGATTTCATTTTGGGGTAAAAGAGATTAAAATGTGAATATATACCTTAGCCTCGAAGAAGTTTTTAGCGCCCGTGACACCGACCTCATCGACGTCGACTTCAGTGAGTCTGGCCAGCTGGCTCAATCCGGAATCCTGCTCTAATTCACCGGCCCGTGCTTTGCGATAGATCAATAGAAACTGTAAGAAGAAATAGTTACATTGAAAATAAATTACAATATATTTTAAAGAATACTTTAAAAGAACCTGAGAACTGAACCGTTCGATCAATTTCAACGACTTCTTTCGAAAATAGGTCGATTACCGATAAGAAATCGCGACCCGATTCCATTACTATTCTTGAGATAACATCTACACGAACATGCAGACCATATTTATATATAAAATAATCTTTAGTACAGAATAATTATAGTATAAATAAAAGAAAATTTTTCTTTAGCTAATGCTTGATTGCTTTACATTTTGACAGAATCATCGTTTCTACACTTTAATTAGAAAAACTTCCAGCTCGCTGATTATCTTAAGAAACAAATAAAAATTAAAAAAAATAAAAGGCAGAAAGACGAGTCATCGAATAAGAAAGTCGTACGGAAAAGTTGTTCAATAGAAATTCGAGAATTGCGATGTTTATGAATGTAAGGCGTGATGAAAGGAGGGGGGTTCGTGTCGCGAGCGTTTTACGGTAATTCATATCGTGATGAGTAAGAGGAAGGTGAGTAAGTCGGGCAATAAACTATAGTTACTCAGATATCGCGCAATGAATCACGGCGGCGATCGACGAGCGGGGCGAATCGCGCGCACACGCATCGCGTATATGCAGGATCGATTCGCGTGGCGCGGGCTTTGTTCCGCGAAAAAATACGGAATGTCACGTCCGACTGTCCGTGAGTGCGTTACGTACTTAATTGTCAAGTCGAATTTCCCCCTTCGAACAACACGTGATGCCCGTACGTCGCGCGATCTTACTCGCGGTCGTATCGCGGTTGCGTTAATAGCGAAAGTTTCTGCTGGCGTTTCGCACGCTCCGGTATTCCGCGGGCGTGTTGCAAAACCATCACGTCGGTTCTCCACGATTGATTTCCGCGTGCAATCGCCATTGCCGGGGCGACGATTGCATGAGCTTAATCCTCATGATATTTTCGTATCTTCGTTACACTTGAATATTTTTAGAAAATCGAAGCTGGAAGTCTAGCATTTGATGGACAGTGCGAATTCGCGTCAATAATTTCTTCGCGGTTATTTGCATTTTATTTTCTACAGGACATTCTATTTCGGTTATAAATTTTAATTAGAAATTAAATTAAGGAGTATTATTATTTATAATAAATTAAGAAATATCCGAAATAAAAAATATTACTGCGATCTAACTGTTTCTCGTGTAAATTACATTTTTTTAAATGATATTAATAAAATGTAAAAGTAATAAAATGAAGATTGTTAACTCAAAACTAAATTTCTAGCTGAATCAAATTCCTAAGAAAATTTGTTTGCAGGGAAATGCTTTTAGTTTTGCACATTTTTTTTATAGCAGGCAGTCTTTCGGCGGTCTTTTAATATATTCCATCGTGCAGACGACCGAAATAGAACTTCTCCAACGTATCCTTTCTAACCCACAGCTATATGCTTGGAGAGTAAACACGATCGTCGAATACTCAGCGAGTGAGACGTATGTTAAACATTGCATGGGGTCTACTATTTTCCCAAATAACATATCGCACGTGCGCTCGCTATAACTAAAATCTATAATTCCTTTCAATTTAAATTCATTTAAAATCAGCGAATCTGATTAAAAATTATATCATTTATAAAGAAAAAAAAGCAAAAGCAGGATAAAAAAATTTGACGAATTTAATTACGTTTTATATATGAGACTGAGACTATAAAAAATTGAAATTATATATATATGACAGCTAATATATCTGCTCTAATTATTTCGATATTTAATTATTTATCTGCGTATTTATATTTGTTCTAATTTCTACAAAATAAAATATATTTTTCATAAATAAAAACTGGCAAAATATTAAAATTAAGAAGTACTTATAGTTTTAATCGACGCGCCTCTCGAAATTGTGTAAATTGCACGTGTTTCTCGACGAGCATTCTCGCACAAGAGCAAAGCTGCACGCAGTGAAATCTATTTTGGTTCAATATTTTTAACGACCACAAGCGGAGTTGCGAGAAATACTAATGTTGGTCAGGGTGACTGTACAGACGTTTATGTTTACGCCGACCACATATTCGGAGCCGATAGCGCGAAGTGTGCTAACGTTTCCGAACCATTTGTTTGTTGTCCTACGACCCATTTCTTCAAAAAATCTCTAATCAAGTCTCAGTCAAATTTAAAAATTTAAAAAATGACCAATAAACAGTGATAAAAATTTTATTAATGCGCAGAAGCAGTGGATATCTATATTTCTTTTCTCGTGAAAAATAAATTTCTGTTCAAATTAATAAACACCCGCAAACATCGCTACCATTGTTATCAGTTTATTAAAATTAAAATATAATTATTGTGAATTAGTGCAAAATTTTAGTTTTATATTTTTTTCTAGCAAAATGGAGTAATATAAAAATCTGATTATGATAATCAAATTTTACATATAAGCAGCATTGCTTTTTCTCAGAAGAGGAATGAACAAGAAAAATGATTTATATATTTGTCGCGTTCAGTATATCATTTATGCTGTTTGTCAGTCCGAAATATTAACGATTAATATTTCTCGGAGCTGGTAAAAATAAACCAACCTCACGGAAAGATATGCGGCCGTCGCCATCCTCGTCGACCTCCTGGATCATCGCCTTGAGTCCGAGATGCGTCTGCGGTGCACCCAGAACTTCCATCATTCGCTTCAGTTCGGAGAGATCGAGATAGCCGTCGTGACCATCATCGAATCTGCAACAAGTATTGACAATTACAATTAGCAAAATTTTACCCGTGCAATTTTTTTATCTCCTAAAATATCACATTTATCTCTTAAAATTCCACGTTCCTTAATTCTTCTGCAAAGAAAATTATGAAGCTGATGGAACAAGAACGTTCCGAAATTAAAGAGCAAAGTTTTAAAATCTTACTTCTTGCTCCATATTTTAAAGTAATTTTATTTTTTATTAAAATGTCCTCGAGCTCGAAGCATGTCCTCAGGCATAATTGACATAGTATTTAATATTGGAAATTATTTGAGAATAAATTTATCAATTCAAGGTACGAATAGGATACATACATTAATACGGTAAACTATAATCTGTTCTGCTGACTGGCGAATATTTTATCACGACCTCCTTTCGCTGCGTGAAGTGGCATTTTTCAGCGATTGACCCGCCAATAAATCATCGTGATGACGCTAGTCAATGAGACGCCGAGCCTAAACGTGTCGTACGTGAATAGTCTGCCGCCTCTGGTTAATCAGTTAATCATGATACCGCGCGCAATTTAATCACCGGTCATTGAATGCGGTTGCACGAAGGAACAAGGAAGAAAAATTTGGGACGATGTCATTACTGGCGAACGAGGCTTGATTATTAAAACAAATCCCTCCCCCCGGAAAAATCGGTATAGAGATTGCTTCAATCTCGACGGTGCCGCAATGGTCTTCCTATTTCGCAGAATTTGAGAAACTGTTATGATGAAACAGAAAATGGCATAAGTTTTAACGAAGTTCGTGACATCTTTGTGACTCAATGATTCCGCAAAGTAAACAACCAAAGGATGGCGTGACCGAGTTGGTGTTAATCGTAACTAGCATGTGGTATAACTGTGTACATAAAATACAATACATTACAAATAACATGGTGCTACCGTGCTAATCTCATTAAAATCAAACTATTAAATTGACATTATAAAAATTAAAATTTTATCTAATATACAGATTAAAAAAGTGACATAATATCAAGAAATCCAAAGCTTCATGTTATATTTTAAATACACTCGACAAAACTTTATAATAAATTATTTTATGTCATCAAATTGATGTCTTTCTCTTTTCACAAAGAGTATGGTTTAGGTTTAGAGAAAGAAATTTAATTTAAATAATAATTTTAATTGGGGAAATCGGCTCGGTTTCCTTCGACAGTCAAAGCGACAGTATTATACGTTCTCCGTAACTGAAGTCGTAACACAGAGATTGTCTTAAACTCGGCCGTCATTAACATTCGCGACTTTCTTTACATTTATTACGAGGCCGACGTCTCGTTTGGCCGCGATGTAAAAGGCAGTACATTTAATAACTAGAACGTCTCTTGTAGTAGAAAGCGGACAAAACAGGTTGACCAAGATTTTTATTTGTAGAAAAATTTGCATTTTCCGTATACGCGTAACTTAAAGCCGATTGCCGATTTTTGTTTTAGCCACTTCTTCTTCTTCCTCCGGGACTTTTTGCGCGGCTATAAATGTCACGCCGTAAAAAAGAATTTCGGTCCGGAATATAACCGCGTGTCGTTGGGATTTTATTACGCGTTGTTCCGCGCGCTTCATCGTAAATGCAAAATGCGAAAAACGATTTACCCCGCGATGACGCTTTCGCCCGCGCAATATCGCCGTGGTAACTGTTTGACATTATTAGTCTCGCTCTTTTAGCCGTGCAAAACATTGAAAAAAAATATGGGCGTGTGTATATACGTGCTAAAGGTTAAGTGGATCACGTTCACGGTTGTTGTTAGAAAACACCGACCCGCGCAATTTTATGTGCACAATCCGCACACGGAAAGCATCCTCGTAATCTGCGAAGCTCTCTCGGCCGAGTGCTTCCACGAAGACAAAATCAATACGTCTCTGACCGGAATTATCAAATTAGGTATCAACCATGATATGCGTTTACGTCATTAACAATTCATTATATACTAGCAATTAATTATATATTAAATTAGCTCTAGTTTCAAGCACGGAATTAATAATGCAAGAATATGTGATCTATTATTCATTTGTTATTTGTACTCGTTGCTCATTGAAATGAATAATTACATGTTACGTACGAGGTTACATATGAAATAATTACATATTAAGATAAATAAAATTATATAGAGAATCTATTACGTTTTATTGGTGCAAATTTTATAGGATTTTTAAAGAACATAATAACTGTTTCAATGAAACATTCGTTATAAAAGAACAGGGCTGAGTTACATATGACGTTACATGTGCATATGAAATAATTACATATTAAGATAAATAAAATTACATAGAGAATCTATTACTTTTTTTAAATATTTCATAGGATATTTAAAGGACATAATAACTGTTTCGTGAAACATTGGCAAAAGAGCAAGGCTGAGCGCAGATAAAGAGAAGTGTGAGAATTTCGTAGAAGTCAACATCCTCGTATCTATCAATCTGCATGTTTTAATTATCGGGGAGCGTGTAGACACATGACGAGAGTGAAAACGATCGAGGGAAAATCGTGGGAACGATCGTCGATATTCAAATTCGCGAGTCTCCCGACAGGATGTCAATCTTATTTGCCGTGGTAATTTCGCGACCGGAAATTCGTGAAATCGCGACTTTCCGCGAAAGGGATGGGGAACGGCATAGCACGAGCTCGCTTTAGAGCGTGCAGATCGTTTTATCGAGGCGTACAAAATCGAATCGTTTATTAGTATACGACGTAGTGGATTAATACACGAAGTTATCGTACGCGCTCGAAGGTCTCTGCTAAGTAAAAAATAAAGTATGAGCAAATGAAATATTTAATAGAGATTTAACGTTTGATAAAATCTTGTTCTTTAGATAACTAATGGCAGATAACTGGATATTTATTTGATCTCAATTAGAAATCGAGAACGATAATAAGCTTCTAATTTTTGAGTACCAGAATTAGATATGAAATGTAACAGTGTAAAACGTGTGAACTGCGATTGGCGCTATCGCGATGTCATAAATCGATAGGGAGCAATCATGTTGTATTATATAACCGGCCTACATGTACGGCGATACGTAACGATATCGTACGCGGGTTAAAGACCACTTGTACGGCAAACCGGTCCTTTCAATCATCGTGATTAACGAGCTCCCACAAAAATCGACGTGGCCTTTATACGTAGAAAAAGAGTGACGTTCAAAGCTAGTTCAGCAAGTGGAGTGTAATTTGCAAAATTTTTAATTTCATTCTTTCAGCCTGGATCGACAATTTGTCATGTCGCTGTAACCATGCATTACTTTATCAGAATATCCGCATTCACTTCTACCCATAATTAAGCAGGACGTTGAAAAATCGTCCCGGCCGGTATATTTTCGGAGTTCGTTAGAGTGTGGAAGAGCGCGTTAGAGGAAATTGCTTCCGCATTAGTTAATGACGTTAACTTGCAAGGTGCCGGAAATTGAAGCGACGTAGGCGGAGAGGCACCTGAACCGGTAAATTCCTTCAATCAGAAGGAATTGTAATTATTCTGTTGGAAAGGTCAATATTTGACTGGGATCTCGCTGGGGCAATTAAACGTTCGGGCAAAAGTCCATCATGTTTATTAGCTTTATGAATGTATACACACCTCACGTTGGAGCGTAACTGTAACTGTTGTTGCAAACGTTACAGCCGGCCTAACACGTAGCGTTATATATTGTATAATGTTGGCGTTCCTCACTGCCAACATTAGATTGCGAGACATCGAAGTGAATCGCAATCGAAACGTTCTTCTAATCTTTTCTTTAGAGTTATCCAAGAGAATTACGTAGATATTATTAATATTCACGACAAAGAAAGAGATGAAAAACGGGTGTGCAATAATTTGATGAAATCGCTCTTCTTTTATTTTTCCGCAGGCACTATTATTTAGGTATCAACAAGTACGACTGTCTCTTTATCTCGCTCTCTCGCGATCTCTCTTTTTCTTTACCACGAGGTTCTCTACCGCGAAGCGGAAAGATATTTCACGGAGTGAGAGGATGGCGAAGGTCGAGGACGCATTTTTATAAGCACGTTTAACGAGGTGATCGATAAAAGTAGCAGAAAGGAGAAAGATGAAAGCGACAGATACGTGGGAGAAGTACTATTAAAATCAGCACCCCATTAATAATGCTCTCTTCGCTTTTAATCGATAAATATCTTTTCGACGATCTAAATATATTAATACCTGTCGATTAATATTTAAAGTGAATAAAGAGTGCTGAATAATAACGGCGCTCTCGAAACGTTCATGAAAATATATAGGGTGATTATAAATGCTGCTCACGACTACATTTTCGAATAAGAAAATATTGCGCGTTTATTTCCGACTGAGAACATCACTGTTACATCACACTTCATTTATGAATGACTCGATATTCGATTGTTGCCGCGCGACAGATCGTCGCTCTCGGTTTTATCGAGAATCGAGCTCGTCGGACAGTTTTAATCGGCCAAGTGAAACGCGGCGCTAATCAACGTATAGGACTGTGCCGAGGCGCTCGGCGTAAATGCAGCGCGATCGTTATCACGTTAAACGTTATCACGGATTTGGACTGGCTTTGCGAAAGTTTAATTAAAAGCTACATACCGCGAGATAAATTGTTAAAAATTTTAACAAATTTCTCTCTCGTCATCTCTCAGAATTGGTTTTATTACGAAGTCAAACATAGTTTAACGTAGCCGTATAGTTTAGTTTAAAATAGTTTACAGCGTGATAATATAGTTTTGCGCGCGTTATCAGCGATCTGTAACCTAAAAAGAGAACAATTTTTAAAATTATTATTTTGCGAAGGAAAGGAAAATGTCTTATTCGCGAATTTTCATGAATGAGAGAACTCACGATTTAAAGAATTTATGTATATTACTTGGAGAGCGGATGATGTTGCAGGCGCCTGTTCGCCTCTTGCCTTTCTTTTCATTAACCGCTATACAACGCGGTAGCACGGGATACTCAATTATCGCAACCTAACGACACCGTTGCGCTTCTGATCTCGTTATCGCGGTTACCGCGGTATCGCGA